CACAGTGCCAGCAAGGCTTCGGTGCGTTGTTGGCAGCTGCCTGACTGGTCACAGCGCGGCGGTTGCACTAGCGGTCAGTAGCGTAGATGCAGAGCAGTGTAGGAATGATAGCAAATGCGCCGGGCGATTGAGGGCGTCGTCCTGCTGGACGGAGTCGTCTGCACCTCGCTGCCACCGCTGTTGTCAAACAAACGCGCACGTACGATTTGTCCACTGACCCCACGGGGACAGCAAGAAGTGCTTAGATGGTGGCGCCATGCCTGTTGTGCTGCGGTGCTGAACCCTTCTTGTATCGTTGTCGGATGAGGATAGACGGCGCTACACAGCAGATGTGCGCGTCATTAGATCAGCCGTATACTGGTTCGCAGCTATGAAGCAAAACGCCGATGGGTCCAACTGCGTGACGCATCAGTTGAACTAGCAATACCCGTGGAGTGCATGCTAGTAATCCGCAAATTTGTCGGAGTCAACGTTGACAGCCGGCACTGGGGAACTGCAAAGGCATGCAGGCACAATTCAAAGTGGATGCAACGACAGGTGAAAAAGATAGAACATGGTTCTTGGCGCATTGTTTTCCAGCCAGCATTGGTCATGGATGTATGCAGGAAGGTGCCGAGTAACTTTGCAGATAATCCGTTTCTGGCTAAGCCATTGTTGCTGTGGGCTAACTGCAATGTGGCCAGCTACTGGTGCGTTCCTTGCGAAAAGGACGACGCAACCAACATGTGTTGTGGAATATATTTTCCCAGAACGAACGCCAGGGTTTAACGAGTTGTAGTCTGGCTTGCTGGTCATGAGATTGAAAGCTGCGCCCACCTGTAACGGAGCATTGTGCACACAGTTGCCCCTACATGCTAGGTGAAGTTACCCCCGGTCGGTTGGGCGTATTTATCTCCAAGAGATATTCCTAAGTTGCAGACAAGCACGCAACTGCCCTCTAAAGCTACTAGGCTACTTGGATGTCCCATCGGTAGCCTGGCTGACCACCATCGGCTGAGCTCCGAATAACGCCTCAAAAACATTCGAACCAAACCGGTGGAGGCCTGCTGCGCGCGCAGGAGGCTAAAGAGGCATGAACTGTTTACGTTACAAAGCATGCATGGGAGAGTGTAATAGATATGGCTAAGACGATGCATGAAAGTGACGCTGCTCCTGAGACTAATAGGGAAATTACAGGGTTTCCTGCTGAGCGAAATCAGGAGATGAAGCCTCCTTCGGAGTGGGGGGGGACCAGTTGTCATCCCATCCTATGTTGCGAATGGGCTTCAGCTCGCAATCGAAGACATTCAGATCAATGCAGCCGCTGACCTTCAAGCTCGAAAATTACCTGCTTTCAGCCGGGCTACTTCTACATATTTTCCATTCCTGTTGACTCGCAAGGCTCCAGGGGACTATTCTTAACTGCATTCTGCTGAGACAACGGTGGTGGGGAATGAACAGATGTTGCGGGACTATGATATAGGCACCGGGTATGCTTCGTCGGCCGTACCACACGACGGATGAGTTCGCGGTGACGGGCTGGCTGGTATGAGCGTAGACGTAACAGCAGCATGTATCACACACAAAATAAGCTTCAGGCAGGCTTAAGTTGTGAAGATGCACTGCGACGGAGATGACTAACTGGCTGACTGTCGATGAAGTCCGTTCGCGAATCCAGAGGACGGGAAGATGCACTCAGAGGAACGGAAGACCCGCTGTAGTCCTGCCAATATCAACGAGTACTTGCAGTATGCTTAAAATAAAGTGTTGCAACGCAAAAATACTGCCCGAATGGCTAACGGCTCAGAATACCTATCGTTTGCGCTGGCGTGGCGGGAGAAACGGGAGACGGCGACACGACGGCGGCGTGCACCGCGCACGGCGAAACTGCGCGCCGCGTGTGGGTTTGAAGCCTTGCCTATCTTCTGTAAACCTGAAATATGGAATTAAACGGAAGTTCCCTGAAAATAGAGTACGAACGTGAGTTGCATTTTTGCACATGCGGCGCCCCCGCCAGCACCTGGTTACGGCAACGGCTGCGGTCGCAGCTTGTNTTGTGTCATTGCGCCCGTAATTGTAACAAATACGAGGAGATCAACAGCATAGCTTTAGGTATCAATTGTGCTGAATATGTGTGACTGGATTTTGCCGTCAATTGGCCTTCAGACTTCCCTCCTGCGATATTTATTGTGCAGGAGTGCAGTTTCAACTCCACGAACTGCGCTGCCTTACATATTCTGTGCTCGAAACAGAAGCGGTACGCCTATATCAAAAAGGTGCAACGCATTATAATTTTGTTTGCAGTGTCATTGGGGGGGATAGGCAATTAACAGCAGTGAACGTGAAGAATAGGAGTAGCGCCCGACCTTCGCATTTCGTAAAATACAATACATGATGTGGATTCTTCTTGGAGGTCTTTTCAGTTGAACGAGCAGTACTACTTAGTGAAATTCCAGAGACGGTGCCGATAAGGTGTCCGTCCAGGGCTTGAGGAGAAACTAAAAGAAACACTTTCACAATTCTGCTGCGCACACCAGGCAATGATTATCAAAGCGAACTTTCGGATATCCCTTCAAAATATGGAGGCTAAATCGCTCTTTTACTGGCGAAACAAGAGTGTATCCGCTGGCGCCTTCACCATTTTCGGTAGTAAATTGTTGAGCGTAAGCAACGCTCTGTTTCGGCTCAGACAATCAAGCACTCGGCGTCATCTCATAATCATGTCATAATCGTGGGATTGGCGTCGCACGTTCACTGCCATTGTCTTAGGTTATTGCGTGCACAGTGTGTAGGGATAAGCCTCACATGGGTCCCCTGGTGCCCTTAAGCGCAGTTTCGATTATTCGTTGTTTGCAGGATGGTATCTTCGCGTGGGTACACATGTTGACAGATATGCCGGAGGGCTGTTTACCCCTAGGGATACCAAGGCACTGGGCAGCACCTAAACAGCCAGCCTCCTTTAATCTTCACGGTCGACATCTAAGGCTTCGGCAAGCGCCGAAGCAGGGATGAACTCGGCCGTCAACCAAGTTCCTAACCCAAAACTGGTTGTCTACGAACACGTTGCAATTATTTCCGAAGCATTTAAGGGATCACCATGACATGATGTGAAACAAAGCAGCTGTCACACTCTGTTCCATTAACAACGGTCGGAAACAAAGCTCGAGTCGCTTCTGTTCATCAGGGTCAGATGCATCCGTGTGGCCGTTACGTATAGGCTTAATAGGCACGCAAGAGATGTGCAGAACCCATTAATTTAAAGGTATTGTGGAGCATGATATACATGGGTTGCAAAAAGCAACACACGCTTACAAACTGCAGTTCTCATTATGGCCCTAGAATATTTAGCCACTGAAAAGGGTTCAGTTCATGAATATTTGAAGCGGCGCCGTTACTGTTTGAGCGGGTCTCAATAATCTAAGTCTCCATATATTCCACAAGACTAGGGTGATTCATGTAAACATAATGAGGCTTAAAATCTTTACATTTTTCTAGGTGGTTCGCCTGCAGCGTGGCAAACATTCGAATAGAATTCCTACTCTACTAGTACTTGTCCACATACATACGTGTGTCTGGCTAGACACAGCCCAAACTACGAACTGCTGCAGTGAGAAGTCCCCTGTAGTAGACGCGCAAGCATTAAGGAGAAACAGCTCGCTCCGAATCCTATAAGTCACCTCTGTAAAACTACTAGCAGCGAGATTGCTCCTGTACTTGGCAATCTCGGCTATCTCCGCTTTAACACCCTCTAATTTCTTTAATACAGCATGTTTTGCATATAAAGGAAAGGCGGGGAAATGTCACGGCAGAGAGTGGAAGCCAAATGTGCCAAGGTCAGAGGGAAAACAGCTGAGTGGAACATTTAGGTGAAGAGTTGCGGCTATAAGGCAACAATCCAGGCCACTGCGGCTGTCCACTGGGCATCAGGGAGGGCCCATTTTCTTGACTGCCATCTTGTAGAGAATTGTGCAGGCAGTTCTTCAGGATGGCGCAACTCACACCCTGTGGATGATATTAAATTAAGGACTGGGTGGGGTCCTTTACTGAATGGAGCGGCACTTGCTTGTCTGAATGAAGTACCCAAGAACCCACTGTTGCTTCGTCAAACTAAAGAACGGGCAGCTCTTTCACTACTACAGAAGCTACACGAGGCACCAACTATAAAGTCGATAAATATTTAGAATGTTAGCATACAGTTTCCAGCGCTTTAGGCAATATTTGAACTTCCGGGTATTACTTTGGAGTGGAAACGCACTAACGAACCAGCCCTGGACCTGTGTAACACCTTTCAAGTCCCGAAGGACCGAATTGAGTAACGTTCGTACCGCTGTACAATATACAAACTTGACGGGGAAAATGGCTCGTGTGTTGGACAAGCACAGCCAATGCAGGGGGGGGTACCTTTCTCAGGACCGAACGCCCCGTTGCAAAAACCTGTGAAATGTTGGCTGTCCATTTAGTTCCATGGCAGTTGTTTTCCTGTGACCAAGTCACCGTTTAAGCGACTGGAGCTAAGAAGTAAGAGTCCGACTCAAACGTTGGAGCAGTGGAAGGCTTGCAGGTAGTTGTGGTGGTGTGGCAAGGGGGGGGAGCAGTGGAAGGCTTGCAGGTAGTTGTGGTGGTGTGGTGCGGAGGGGGGAAAAGGCCGTGAATGTAATGGTGATGGTGATGGTAGTGATGATGATCATTTTTTGGTGGGCATGGGGAGTGAGGCGGCCTCTCGGGCTTCTCGGGCTTGCAAGGCTCCTCGGGTTTCTCAGGCTTCTCGGGTTTGCAAGGCTCTTCAGGCTTCTCGGGTTTGCAAGGCTTCTCAGGCTTCTCGGGTTTGCAAGGCTTCTCAGGCTTCTCGGGTTTGCAAGGCTTCTCGGGTTTCTCAGGCTTCTCGGGTCTGCAAGGCTTCTCGGGTTTCTCTGGCTTCTCTGGCTTGCATGGCTTGTCGGGTTTCTCGGGCTTTTCGGGTCTGCAGGGTTTCTCGGGTTTCTCTGGCTTCTCTGGCTTGCATGGCTTGTCGGGTTTCTCGGGCTTTTCGGGTTTGCAAGGCCTCTCGGGTTTCTCAGGTTTTTCTGGCTTCTCAGGTTTTTCTGGCTTCTCAGGTTTTTCTGGCTTCTCAGGCTTCTCAGGCTCCTCGGGCTTTTCTGGCTTTTCTGGCTCTTCAGGTTTTTCTGGCTCTTCAGGTTTTTCCGGCTCTTCAGGTTTTTCTGGCTTTTCAGGCTTTTCTGGCTTTTCAGGCTTTTCTGGCTTTTCAGGCTTTTCTGGCTTTTCAGGCTTTTCTGGCTTTTCAGGCTTTTCGGGTGCTGGGGTTGATGGCACTGTGGAGCTGAAGGGAATCTGCTCACCCTCAACATTGATAGCCATGCGCCCGCTGAGCAGCTGCAGAATTAAGTTCGGATCGACTTCACCGAGATATCCAAGCTGTGGATAAACATTGGAAAGCTCTGCTGCTTTTGTTCCGTTTGCATTTTGGCCCCACGTCTCGGATGCCTGAGAAAGACTGATGCTGGCTGCAAGGAGCGCAGCAAAGCGAGTTAACACCGCCATTATAAATGGACCAAAGTTACCTGTGTTTTGCCTCAGTGGCATAACATGTGAGATACTCTTACACGTGCAACTGGTGACCAACCATAGCCAATTGCCGCTCAACTGGTGGGGACGTTGTGTAGTGCGACCATCGCCTATTGCCGACGCCGGAGCGACAGTGCACCTTGCCTATCCGTCGCCTCGAGCGCCTAGCGTCTCCTGGTTGTCTAAAATGGAATCCTGAGTGTCTGCGCTGCAAACATGCTGCTAAAACGTCCCAAAAGTCTGCCAAACGTGAGCGGAAATGCGTGCTCTTGCATAACTAGCATAGTGGTCATGGTACGTGGCGATAGTTGCTTCCTTCCGCTCACACTCACCGCGTTTAGGAAACATTTCAGTGTAAGGTGTATAAGTAAGCATCAAAATGCTCTAAAATTTGGTTAAGGTGTTATGTGAATGCGTTTCTTTTTCCAAAGACAACGCATTCACATGACACCTTAACCAAATCCTCGCGAAGGTGACCTACGTTGGAAACGGCGGCTGCCAGCTGGAGCCGTGCTCAGGCAGTCCGGACTGCGTGTGAACTCTCCCTTCCCGCTCAGGTGAATTGGGCGCGATCTAATTTCAGTAAATTCGGCCTTGACATAATGGAAAGTGACAAACTAGGCTAGTGACCTTCTGACATACGCATCTCGCCGTTAATTACCTTGTGAACCGTTGCCGTAATGCCGTGGGGTTCTGCAGGGCTGCTGAAGGGTGCGATAAACGCCTACTTTAAGCGATAACTAAATCTTTCACGGAGAACGTATGTAAAACATAACATTTAGGTAAATAAGGGCAGGAGGCGTAGGCAATTGAGATAGAACTCCTCAGAGAACATCTGATGGTGAAGTGCGAAGCGTGGATGGAGCACACCACCAAAGAGTAGTGATAGCGGACCGGAACGTATTCACAAGCGAAAAGACACGCGAAAATATTCTTACTCGCAGAAGGTGTTTTCAAATGAAAGACCGAGAACAATGTTCTGGCTTGTGTTGCAGCCGACGTTGGTACGCCTCTAGCCTACATACGACTGCTTGAGTAACCAGGTGAGTAATCCTATTGACAAGCTAAGACGAGGCATATGCATTCTTCTAATTGGGAGGCACGAATTACAATCTAAGAAGAGGAACGAAAGTACTATCCGATGTAATAGAACTTCCCTATTGTAAATGAAATTCCCCATTGTGGTGCGCCCGCACTACAGTTGCCCAAACAAACGCTCTCCGACTGGTAAATGGCGCCTATGAGAAGTGCCTGTCTCGTCAGATCTCATCGGTATTCTTGAATCTGAGCACGGCGGGGACGGCTGCGGAGTTGCAGACAGTTTTGTAAGAGCTGCTTGCAGACAACGTTGAGCCGTCAAGCGGCAAATACTGGGTTGATAAATTGCGGCCGCGTTGAAGGTCTTTTCATGGGAAAGTGGGAACTAGCAATGTGTGAACCGCTCCAAGTTGCTGTATTCATCTGTAAACGTATGGATTCTTATATAAAGTCGGAGGCGAAGGACAGGCAGACAAACATAAGGAGCGGGAGACTGTTTCTCGGCGGGTCTCGATCAGTAGTAACACTCAACCAGTATTGCTGTTGTTCATTAGGCAAGGCAACCTTGCTTTTGCGGTAGATGCAGTTTATTCACTGCCGCCACTATGTCGCTGCTCGCATTTCCAGAGAGAATACAGTCCACCACACTCCACGCCCTCGTCATGGTCAATAATCTTGCCCTCAAAAGCATTCAGTTTTGAGCCTGAGTTTTACTAGGTGAGATGATGCACCGAAGGACCCAAAGGAAGGATTGTTTTGCTTTGGTATTACCTGTGAAGACTTTTTGTGTACTGCAGCCCCGGACAAGGTTGGCAGCAGTGCCATAGATTCTATCAATTGCCTGTCAATCTTCCAGATATGATGCACGGGAGCATTACTTAAAATAGTGGAGAGATTAATGATTTGCCAGGGAGTATGCTAGTAAAAATATGGCGTGTCTGGACCTCCAAAAAGTAATATGCCTGCTGTGGTAGATGATGTCCTGTAGACACCACAAAGAGCACGTGGAGAAATAAAGTCCATTGTCGAAAATATAAAGAACTGTAACAGAATCGCTGCTTGTTCAGCGACGTATCACTTTATAGTATGTTCCATAATTTTACAAAAATGCATTTGTTCAATATTGGGACGTTGGGCGACAATGTTCCGAAGCTCTCCCTTCTCGTGCAAGCAAAACGCTGAAGAGATAGTGTAGTTGCTACCAGCAGTTACAGTCCCGCTTGATCAGTGAGAAAGGAGGGCTTTTCCTAATCAAAAATGGTGATTTTAAAGGGTCTCTGAGTGCCTTGAAGACTTTAAGAGAAAGCAACTGTTTCTCTCGGGGCTCCAGAAAGAGCAAAGCCGTCGCTCAAGGGGTGTAGAGAAGCGCGCTTGCAAGCTCCCCGCACAGCGGCTGCGTCTTTTTGGATGGACGCTTGCTACTCGTTAACGCACAAACGAGTGTTACTCGGAAGCGAAATTCGTGGGTTTGTGCGTGTTTAATGGGATCCTTGATACGTACTGCATTCATCCCCAGGTCATCTGGGTTCCGCAGTACAAAAGTGCCCACCATCACCCGTTGCATCACAAGCTAAGGTGAGGGAAGATGTGATTCAGTCGGCGAAGGTAGCCCAGTCTTCACTGCTCAGCTGAGACAAGAAGTGGAGCCATCCCTACACATTCAGCCACTTTGTGTGCTCTTGTGCTGCACAGAAACAGACACTGAAAACAGTGATAGTTCGGCACAACGCCACCATGCCGGTTCCAAAGGCTGCTCGGCCAGCACATGTAAGGTGACCGAAACTCTGCAAGGTGCATACAATTACAAATTCAAGTTTCCTTGGCTGCCTACGAAAGTGAATTTGGGCCGACATAAGTCCTACTTCTCTCTGCCAAGCGTTTGTCAAGCAGACTTTTCCGCATTTGGCGGGCGCTTCCTTCAGGGGCGTCGCTCTGCTGCGGAACAATTTGGACAGACAGACAAGATAAGCCCACTTGTCCCTTTATGATATCCGCCCTATACCTTCAACAGGGATGGAAATTTGCTAAGGTTGTGTAGTTCCTATATTGCTCCTGCGCGCGACTCCACCAGGATGGCATTCCTCTCTGGAAATCCTCCAAAACAGTGGGCGACGCCTACAGGAGGTGTTGCCTAATCCCTGATTAATATTGTAGGAGGCTATTACGATTCAAAGAGGTGGGGGCACTCTATTATGGTGAGTGTAGAAGGGAGTTTGGTCGAGCCGGCGACAGCGGCGATCGCAGTATGCAGCAGGCCTCGGTATGGCCCGGTTGACCATTGGAGCGGCATCGGGAGAGAGAGCAGGGACAATTAAAAATGCATTAATATCGATTAATATTGTTAAATATAGGATAAACACTGTCATATGTGACTTTCAACCATTCTACTAGTGGTTCAGTGGCTCACCGACGCCTTTCAGCACCAAGCGGCCTTGAGCCTTGAACGCTTCCGCGGCGCATCCTAGAAGCGTGAATCGACGACTGCTTGTATGATCTTACAGAAAGGTCTCCAAATATAATATTGACTAGCCAGGCTGTGGCAAGAGGCTGTCACCTAAGCTGCACGGGTCCTCGCCCTCTTCACCCTCAGCTGCCATATACTGGCGGTCAGTCTGTGATGCCTTGTTTTTCACCAAAAGTAGCAAAACTAGCACTTCCAAATATGATAAATGTTTTTATGACTGCAGGAAGGCATAGAGAAGTGGATACGTGCCCTAGAAATCTACGTGTTCCCCTAAGGACCTGTCTTCTTCTGTTACGCCTGATGTCTTGCGCTAGATCCCTTGGCGCCACCGCATGTCAATAAAGGGGACCGATTCACTCTGCGAGTGCCTGAATTCCAAGATCAGCCTAGAACCCGCAGTGCGTAGACAACTCGACGGTGATGGTGCGGAAGGGCGGCGCAACCGCCGAGTTCGTGTATGGACTGGGTATCAGCTCCCTCCAGCCAGCGGATCAAGTGGATCACAGCGAAGAAACGCCCTTGCGGTTTGTTAGCGTGCAACTACAGCTCTCCGATTCAAGCAAGAATTTAGACGTTGGTCGGTCTCCTACGCTACCTTGTCCTGGGGCCGAGTGTTAGCACAAAAACGCACGCTCATTAAATTGTTGCGAAGAAGTCGGTGTATACAATGCAGCTGTGTATCCCTGCTGCCGTCCTTGTTGATCGAATCTGCGGTTCGTTGCGGGCGCTGTGTTTCAGACGTCCACGCTTTCCTCTTTGAGTCCGATGGCACATACGTAGACTGTGTGTTTTATAAGAACCCGACCCTTGCCGGCAAAAGCGTCCGACTTCTTCAACAAGATAAGGAGCTCCTTGTAGACTTACGTTACATCCCTCAGAGGTGCAGCTTCATCGTCTGTACTTTGGCAATCTACTCCGGTGGCACGGTTGCTCAACTAGGGGATGGCTCCGTCCAGGTACGCGCGGTTAAATATAGCGCTGAATTCGTAGGCAAATGGAAAAACATACTATAGCAAGGGGCTTTATCTGCACAAAAGCAGTGCAGGTAGTTCTGAATGGGTTTCCGGTCGGACCTTTTGTCTCGGATGGAACTGGATACACCCAGAAACCTTCCATCGGATGGCAATGCGATCTGCTGTTCATGTCCCCATCATGCTTGCTAGTTTATGTGTGCTGCAGCTTAGCGCTCTTGTACCTCGCTTAGGGCTAGAAGAGAATGCAGATTTTCCTCATCTTCCCTGCGGTCAGCTTCCCCCAGGCTCCTCCGAATTCTATGAATGGGTATGCCTCGGAATGCTTCCGTTGAAACCGAGGAGCAGCCTTGGAGAGGAATGTGGTATGATGCTATGCCTGCTCGCCCATCATGCCGGCTTCTGGTACTTCAAGCCTGTGTTAAAACCCGTCACAGCTTTTACACCTCAGGGGCTAATCGAACCAGCGCAGGTACAACTTCCTTCCCCACCTATGCAGAGAGAGCTAAGTTGGGTTTTTTGGTACTTCAAGCATAGAATCATCTTTTCCGAGTATCTTCAAGAGTCCAATGGCCCTTATTTAGTTTCCTATCTCACTCCGCCTATCTGTTACCTTAGGATTACGTTACGAGGCACGTTGCGGGACTGAGTGAAGAAACTCCGGGTGTAGAACTTGGCTCATTGATTAAGGCAGCTCGTGAAGGTACCCATGTACAGTTTGAATTGGCAGACACAGAATGGCGTCTACCAGTGAGTCAAGCATGTAACTTGGTTAGTACGGCTATTCAAATGATGAGCCTAGCAGTATTGATTTGTGGAGACGGCAGTGGAGGTCGAGGCATGTGAATTGGTTCATGCTTTCTTTGCTGATGCATTTTGCTTCTCGCTCGCTAGGACGACCAGGAAGAGCCTGCAGGACACCATGCAGTCGAAACTCGGGAATATGGGACCCGGAGGGGAATTGGACTTGATACTGGAAATTTGGTTGGAGGTGAAGCGGAAAATGAGGAATCGGAGATTTATAGGTAAGGGTGCGGAGACCTATCTGGGTCATTGTTACTCCATATGTATTCAGGCGGAAGTGTTTCCCTTGTATCCAAACGTATTTGCTTATCGTTCTGTGGGGAAAATGTGGTTCTGTCGTGATATTTCTTCTAGAAGGAACATAAAGGGGTTCATACGCGACGAAGGCACGCCAACGCGGCATGGCACTGAACAGCAAGCAGATGGATTCGTTGCTAAGCAAGAGATAGAACGGCATATAGTGCTGACTGGAGATCAAGGAGATGTGGCTGTGGCGAAGCGAACTGGCAGGCAGACAGCTCCACTGTCGACGGATATTGCCAGCTGTTCACATGATGAAATTCCACCAGGCGTTCAGGCAGGCAGAAGACCTACGATCCACACGATGGCCGGCCGCAGAGGTGATTACAACAATGCTCAATTCCGAGACAATTATGTAGGCCCTTTTGACAGGGAGCAGCATCCTGATGACAGAGGTGGGAAGAGAAGCAATGGACAGCAGAGAGAGGGCTTATGCACCTCAGAAAGTGAAGAGTATAGTGGGGGCCGTTCGAGAAAGCAGAGAGATACGGGAAATGGAGATAACGGTGCTATCCAGGAGGCAGTTTTAGGAGAGCACAAAGGCATTGGCGGCGGAGCCAACCGATTTTACCGGGGGGCGAGATCGGACGACAAACTGACAGGGGACCAGTGAGCACTGGCATATATAGTTGCATTTAAAGACAGTTAGCGGTTAGCGGTTACCAGCGTAGAAGAAAATCTACAGCCCACCGTCATTATCTTCACTCACTGCCCATTCTATCTAGGCACAGAGCCTGCTGTAAATCGTTGAAACCGTCGTGCCAGACTGATTTTTCTGCTTCTGAATCCCTTTAGTAGATCCGACGATGGAGAACCCTTGCTTGTACCGCATCTTCCCGTTGATGGACACGAAGAAGAGCCCGGAGTGCACGCATACGACAGGCACTTTGCGGCAGGACGACACGACTGGTGGAGAGACTCTGTTGAACGGCGTTTAAGTGCACTAGAGCGTTCTGTCGAAAGCATCGGGCGCAACCTCCAAATGGTTGCGACAGCAACGTCGGATATGCAGAAGAACAACAAACTTTATATTCAGGAACTTCGTGAGAGGTTTACAGAGCTGAAGGTACACAAGGCAATTTTACAGTATAAATGGAAGGCCGCTGGTCTTGGCAGCAGATACTGAGGGTCAGCTGTTACAGCGCCCTTCTTTTTGACGAACTCCTGCCAGTGGTGACTGGTGGATATCCTTAATTATTGAGCTTGCACTCACGGTTTTTCTGTGTGACTGTAGTGTTACGACAGAGCTGACGGCTTTAGCATAAGTTATGTTGTGCTTTCCCTGCAGAGTGACGTCGCCTCAGACATTGAATCTGCGTTGTCGGGCCCCGTGGAAGCCCTGAGCGTGAGGGTGAAGCAGGTGAAGGACGAAGGAGGAGCTGATGCAAAGCAGTTGGCAGAACAGAAGCGAAAGCTTTGGGCGGTAGACCGGATGGTTCTTCTTCATGAACGGAATTGGCATCTGCTTGCACAGTCCATATCAGAAGTAAGGAATGAGTTCACACGTTTTTTTGCCCGGAAAGACCCTTCATTTGCAGTTGCCCACCTCTCCAAACCGGTAATTTTGTTGCATTCGATCTGACTTCAGCTTCGGTTTCAACTTTCGGGACTTGAACAGCGCATCGAGCAAGCTGTACCTGCCATTCGAGGCTCTACTGTACCGCCAACGGATAACGCAAAGGTTTGTTTTACTTTCCTAGAAAAAGTAAACTTAGATCTGTCCCTGAAAGCACGTTCAAAGTTAGGGCCATCAGCAAGCGAGCTCGATGGGTGGTTGGTGCGCCCGGTGCCTCGTTGTATTGTGCGTTCAGGGACTGCCATTGTCGCTGCAATCGTCCGCTTTTTTGGCTAGTATGGAAGAGCCGAATGCCAGGGAAGTGCTTAATGCGTCAAGCGCCACTCAAAATAATGCCACGAGTGCTCTACAGGACCAGGGACAAACCGTATTCGCCTCTCAAGCCTTAGATGAGCTTAACCGCATACAAAGCCACGCCGAGGCATTTGGAGCTTGCATGCGGCGGCTAGCCAGTGGGACTGCTTCTGATGGTTTGAAAGGGCTCAATCCGATTGAACGCCGCGTTTTGTCCTTCGCGGGAACTCCGAAAGTGTTTGAAGCATTGCAGGATCTGGAGAGGGCTCTGGAAACCATTAATTCGTGTGGACCAGGAAGTCCAGGTACAAGGCTTTATTAGGTGTACACGTTCATTGGTGTAACTACAGTCAATCTCAGAGTCCGCGTAAGTAACCGACGCTCACCATATACAGACAGTAGTTACTCAGGACCGTAGGAGCTTACGAACTGTGTTCTTACTTATACTGAGTGCTGCCCTCTCGCCTCCTAGAGTTTCCCCCGTTCTGCGGGGAGACGGTCCATATGGACATCAAATGAGGCGACGCAGGAATTGTGTGGATTCTGAGCAGCAGGTCCGGCATGTGCCAAAGAACTAGCAAAAACAGCAGTTTGTGCTGCTCTTTTCGCCCTTCAAGGAAACAGCTTTGGCGCCGGGGCTCCAGTGCCGTTCCATTGCTTCTCCTGTGTGGAGTTCTTATAAACTGAATAGTTCTCAACATAAGGCGTTTTAAATATTTTCGTGTTGAAGCACGCAGTGTCGCTTACATCACAGAGCCAACTGCTTCTGTGTAGGGCAGCCTACGCCAAATGCAGGTCTGGCATGCAAGCTGAGTGGCAGCGAAATTGATGGTTCAACGATGAAATGCATCGTTGAATTGGATGAAGAACCATCATCTTATTGCCCCCCCCGATTCTGCTGCGGTTCGAGCCTGTGACTTTGGCCAACACAATAGTGAAGTACGATGCGACTGTAGTGAGGTTGCAGCACCAGGAGTGCACGCAGTACCTATGTGGATATCGATCGCGAACTCGTATATGCGTCTTACACTGCTTTCCAAGGAGTGTTGTTAAACTTCAATCTGAAGCCGTGGAAATGATGGATAAGTGGCCAGGCAATGCCAGAATATGAATCCGCCGTCGGCGGCCGGACAAATTATACGAAGGCGAGGTTTACAAGTGGAATTGAAGTAGGCGAGAATGGTTCCAAGCTGGAATAAAATTCATGATTCTTACAAATGAGGAGACATTCCTAGTCTCTGCTCACGCAAGAGCGCTCGCCTCCATCGTCATGGTTACACCAGCAAGGGCCGCCACCTTCAGGGACAAAACCTTGTGTCTTAAAAGAGGCTTCTTATGCTGCCTTTCAGAGCTGCCACAAATGTGTTTATTGGAGATGCCGCAGGCGCTACGACACAGTTTTCCCAGGCAAGCTACGATTAGCGAAGCTACCTTGCCAACGAATACAAAGAGAGCAATAATAATTAGAATTATGGCTGCGAGAGAAAGAAGCGATGCACAGAGGATGCAGAGGTGACATAAGTACATTCGACTTTCGGAGGGACCTTTCCAGCCCTGACATGTCCATTGGCCAATACCAGGCTGGTGCTGTCGCTGTTCAGACCCAAACGACGACAGGAGCTTCTCCTTAGCAAGACGGCCTGTTACCGCGTCGAATGTCCTGGAGAGAATCCACGTTTTTGTTTCGAGTAACTCCACCAGCACCCAACTGTCGGCCACCGCATTAGCCACGCGATTTGCAGCAACATTCGCAACGTCTTGTGCTGCAAAACGTTCTGCTGGTAGCCTAGTGTGGACCTTCACTGCGGGAATGTTTACCAAAGAACACACCTCTTGAAGTTCTGGGCCTACGGCTGCGAAAGCGAATGGGTCAGCAGGGTGGTTTGCCAGTCCACGCTGAAAAAGCTGATTCATCTCTTCGCGCTGCTGTTCGCGTCGAGGGCTCTGTATCTGCAAGCATGCCTGTCGCAGCAGCTTGTCGCTTGCTGCAGAGAAAACACCTAGTACAAGCAGTCGCCTGTCTGTTCCACCGCCCTTCGCCCTTTCCAGGTGGGACAACGCAGGTTTACGCAGACGGATGCCAATGAGTTTGCTCGGAAGCAGGCGCCTTGACTCTGCCAACCTAGCAATACCCGCAGAACGTGCCGTTGCAGCCATGCGTGCTAACTTGTCAGCTGCAGCACTGAGGCGCAGCGTTGCTGCGTCGCCAAAGGGCAGGGCGCTCTTAAATGCCTCTCGACGTGAAGTTAAGTCAAATATTCGATCCCACAACCACCGGAAAGCTGCATCAGTAAAAGACCTTGCAGCCGACGGACGAGAAATGGGCTCCCAAGAGTTTAGCATGCTGCAAGAAGTGAATAACAAGTTACTTCGAGACGGCGAACGAGTCCCCGAATGCCCTGCACCTTCGTCTTCACAAGCATGTATCAACAGCAGGGCAGAGTGCAGCTGGAGTAATCGCGAGAAAAGTATTGCGTTCCCCCCCAGCAGTGTTTGCGTGTAGGCTTCAAAGTCGTGTGATAGCGCGGCAATACGTTCCAAACTAGCGAGCTGCTGCACTGGCTTCGCGATCAATTCGTTGACGAGGTGCTCGCGCTGCTTCTTGTATACTTGTAGTCGAGTGCGAAACTTTAAGCCTTCGCTGTGAGTCAGCTGCCGGTGCAAGTGGAGGGGTCGCTTCTTCTGCATCTGACGGTGCAGACGGCGTATTGCTTCGCTCTTTTCTCTGGCACGAAGAAGTTGAACTCCCGATGGAGCGTCGCCCTCGGACAGTTGCGGCAAATATTCTGGGCGCCCTGCTTCATCACGGAGATGATCGTTCGTCGTTGGAAACAAAATTAGTTGCAGGGGGTTCTCGATGAACTCAAGCTCCCCAAAATTGCGCTCCGTGTACAGCAAACGAGGGCCTGAATCATAAACGAAAACGTTTCGAACCCAGGCAAGGGACGTGGCAAATAACATGAAAAACTGCTTCTACCATTATCCAGCAAGTCTAGAAAGGCTGAATATAAAATACCTGTTATGTCCGCATTGAGGGAAGACGCGAATGGAATCCCCTCAGTCAAGAAGTAAGCTGCAAGCTCGACCATTGCTGGAGCCGCTCGGCACATTGACTCGGGTACCCCGTGCCCCAATCCGCTGCTCGTCATATCGAAGAGATACAAACTCGACCGATCTTCCTTGAGGAGCCCACCCTGCTGGGGCTGATCAGCAGAAAATGGTGGTGGTGGGAAGGCCCCGAGATAAGCTGGGGCCCGTGGACGCCTCCAGTCTTGCCGTGGAGCAAACACATTTGGCTTCGCTGCCGCGCGGAAAAGCGCTAACAGAAAGAATGGTAGGTGGCGAGGAATCCACCAAAAGAGCTGGGATTGCGTGGGCGGTAGGGTGCAGCACTGCGCTGAGGAATCGCAATCATTACTGACGTTGGTTCCTTCCATTTGCCCACTCTGTGCTTGTAACGTGAACTCATCAGCTTCCGGGTCTGCTAGCTGCCGGAGTCGCTGAAATGGAGTCAGGCTTCCGCTTATATGACTGTGAAAAGCGGTCAAATAGCTTCGGACCTCTGGCTCATTCAGGCACCAGTTCTCTGGGAGGCGCTGGCAATGCATGGCTGCGGCAAACCACCAAAGAGCCGTACACCACGTCTTCGGCACATAGTACAGCATCATGGGTAACATTTCTACATATACGACCAGGAAAGAGGCAAGCAAAGGACAAATCGCTACTATCATCTGTCGTAGTTTCACGCGTACCTGCAAACTCTGCGAAGTGCGTGTCACCTGATAATATGATCGGTGTCTTCGCTCCGGACCCGGCTAGCAATGCATACAGGCGCTCTCGTGCCCAAGGGAAGTGACTCCAAGTCTCCGTCACCAATCTGACAAATGCACACATACAACGCACAGATGTGCCTTATCCCAGCGTGCATACCAAGCAAGCAAAGAGAAAGCATGATTCTTGGCGCATGAGCTGTCAGAAAAACAGCTCTGCAACCCATGAATAGCCCAGTGCAACCACTCCAAATGACAGCTGAGCCAGAAGACAAAACAACTGAGTGCATCCGTGGGTGTAAATGTTGCCACGTAGTGCGCATTCGGCACGCTTATTCCCACAAATAAGCAATTTTCATGTAGGGACTGAAGTCGTAGCATCTTGCCTGTGGTTGGCGAAGGTCTGCAGTGAAGAGACCACTAGATTCACGTCTGCTGTGGACAATTGCAGCTCCTGCTGCAGCCATGCCCACTGCTGCTCTCCCAGCATGTCTCCCATGTCCATGAGCCACCAGCTATCTTTTTCAAAGCTGCACATCCCCATGCACAGCATATTTCGTATGGGCGGAACGGCTTTCTTTCTATGATGAGGAATGAAGAGAAGCAAAGTCTTAGGAGACAACAACCTTTACAGTATCTTTTTCGTAACCAGCCGACTCACCGCAAATCAAGAAAGATCACTTTGACGTTGAGATCTTCGCCAATATAAATTTCGTGAGATGAATACACGCCCTTCCAATCCAGCGACCGAATGGCAGCAGTCTCGTCCACACCCAGAAAATTGAGCATGGTCTCCTTCGACTCTTCCGCAGGACCACAGACACAAGCCTCACGCTGCATTGTACCTCTAGGTAGCACAACCAATCATGAGTGCAGCGGAGACCCCATAGTGCGGGTTGGACTCCCAAGAGTCAAAAGCCGTAAGCAAATGTGGCCGACTAAGCAACGGTTGCATACCATATTTAAATGTGTACATTTTGTTGGCATTATCTTCGCCCATGTCATGGTCGTCCCAAGTCCCCGCAATACTGGGAACTTCTCTCAAGAATTCCTGAAAGTAAAGGAGAACCGGTACTGGTGTCGAAGGTAACAACAGGTCTACCATGAACAGAAGACAGGCGGGCTGTGTAAGCCCGTCTCCCTCTGCTCTTCACGACATTTATCCTTGTGGAGGAAATGTACAATTATCCTCACCGTGTACTCTGTATTAGCAAGCTGGCTGTTGTAAGCTGCGATGAGGCCCGGCGGAGGAATCGGCATCTTTCCCTCCGAGAGCTTCCACAAGAAGTTCCTTGAATCACTTGCAGTTGGGAGCTGCATGTGGTCCGCTGAACAAAAGCATATGCACACCCTAAACTTGGTACGCAGTAAATGCAAATGCATAGTCTGCGTCATAATTACAGTTCGCCGTAGGGGGCTGCAGGAACAGGGTGCGTGGAAATGGCGGATCAACTGTGTTGAACCAAAGAGTGCTACCGTATACGTTATCGCCCATCCAGAGGAAAGCATGGGGCCTTCGGCGGCTGATGTACTTCCACACTCGGCGTCCTTCAATATCATGTTTCGCATCTAGCCCTGAAACGCATGCCACACAGCATCTCCTGTGTTAAATATAATCTGCCTTACCACCCTCAGTGTCGTGTACCCAGTCATGCCTACGGCAGCGTCGACATATTCTATCATATACTTGCCCTCTGGCTGTCTGTTGCACGAAGCATATATAATTCGGTGAGGGCTATGCGGATAGTAGCCCAAGTCGTAGGGGGGGAAAGACGACGATGGAAAGCTGCCTAGAGGCTTCCAGAATGCAGGTGAAGGCTTAAAAACGTAATTAGTGTCTACTCCACTGTCTCTTGTTGAGGTTAAGCCGGCATCGTTTGCCCCCGTCGCCAGTCCAGAAGTGCCCTCCAGGGGCAGGACCTCCGACATGTCGTCGATTGCCACGACGCAAGAACATAGAGCGAGAAGGAGATAAGCCAAACGTAGGGGGCTGATAACCGCTGACGGTCCATATGAGCCTCCTTGCTGTTGCCTTGCATTGAAGGACCGAGCGATGCATAGGAGATCCCGAGACATCATGTCTCCTGCGCTGCCGTTCAAGTGCAGCGACCAGCAGCTCCAACAGCCCTTCACCGCACATCCAGATAGTCCGGATTGTCTGTATTCAGCTAAGTTGCGATGACGTAGCTTTGTATTTGGTTTGGCATCGGTGGAGAGCAGCGTGTAGTCAGTCTTATAAGCGGCGAAGGCTACGACCGTGCGACGCTACGGTTGTCAGCCATTTCTCGGACCCCCTTTCCGTTGTGCTGGGCACTCAAACAGCTCAGTACGCCCAGACAGAATACTAACTGTACAATGGGCTGCAGGAAATAACGCTAATGGCACCTGCAACCAAATCGAACGATTGGCTAAGCGATGCCCCGGTATGTGGCTCACGCCCCGTTTTTAGGGAGACAGCCTTCTAAGAAACGAGCCAAACAAACCGTACGGACTCTCAGAAGGCTTTATATCAGCTAACAATCAGCATTTTTCTCGGACATAAGGACTTTTCCTCCAGCACACGAATAACAACCCCCAGCCCCAAAGAAGCCCCAGGCAGTCATTGGGACTGCACTGCCAGCCTCGATATAACTACCAAGAGTATGCGTGTTCCATACTGCTTACTTGAGAATAATTTGTTACAACTTCTGGACGGTAGTTGAATCACGTAGGCAGGGAGGCGTACTGCTCCGTCTGTTACGTGCGGGCACCAGAACAGCGGTGTAACGGAGCGGTGCCACTTCCCTCTATTATGCCGAAGTGGCAGTTGTTCCCTTCACTGTCTCTTTTGGCTCATGTGAAGGAGGTTCGCGTGCGCCTACACCCTGGACGGGTGGCTTCTGAAGGATGCCGACAGCTTGCCTCTATGTTGATCAGCAGCACGACACGAAGTAAATATCCAGGGCTTCAATCACGCGTCGAATTCTTAGGGTAGGTTTGGTGGGGCGATATGACCTGCGTGGCTTCTAGGTTTCGACAGGAGGGTAGGCACAAAATGAGTCCATCTACCACACAACTTTTAAGGTAACACCTCAGCTTTTTGCGTTGTCGGTATACGCAGAGGATAACCATTTCGTGTTTTTTTGCTTCAGGTACGATGCCCCATCGGAAGTGCACATCGAGTTGAACAACGGCAAGAAGTTCAGGTGAGGCCAGTGGGTTGTCCCACGTGTCCAAACGTTTCTTGTGAATGTTCTGAAAGCGTATAGGTTTAATGGTCTCGTCACGCATGATTTCTGTCGAATTTTGTGATTCTTCTGCGTTGGACCTCAAGGTTCGCCTGCGACGGGTTGTCTCTCAAAGAGCTGCACATGCGCATAGACCGAGAACAGTATCAGCGTAAGCCACGGCGCCATTTCAGCTTAATGTTGCAGCATACTAACCTACCAAGAGTTTACGCTGTGTCTATGTCATACACGGGTGCTAGCTTTGCCTGTTTGCAGTTTACGTTGAACACATTAAGGAACATGCAGCTGACGCAACAGCTGATGACGATGGGTGACATTTACTGCTGATATCGAAGGTAACCAGGAGGCGTACTTCGAGCACATCCCTTGGCGTTCGGCGTTAGAGGGCATGAACGAGAGTGGTGCTAGGAACTGGATAAAAAAGTGGTGCTGGGAACTTGATAAGACCAAAGTTGTGCTGGGAACTGGATAAAACCAATGTTTCCCAAAGTTTGTTCGCGTTTGAGTTTGAACTAAGCCACATTTGAAGCTGTGATGCCTTTATGCGTCGTAGCCTTCGCTGTCCGTCGATTATGGCGGGGCGGTTGCCCCGATCCCGTGTGTCCCCGGGGTAACCAGGTTTATTCTCATGTACCCATCCTTATCTGATATTTCACTTCGACAACCCTATTTTTCCATAGTGGATTCTTCTGCCGCTCAATCCTAAGCAGTAATGCCTATGTGAACGTGCAAGAACAGGGCTCCATAGTCGGGAAACAGGCACTATGTAGACTGAAGCATTCCTGTCATCTGCAATCTAGTGTGCTCTTCTATTCCGCTATCCACTGTAGCAAGCGGCAAGTTTGTACTTGCAGCTCAGCAGACTACTTTCTACCATGGAAGCCAAAATATTTCATGGCGCAAATCTTTGGGTGATCCTTTCTCTTATCGACCCAGATTGCAGTCAACACCAAAGGTACAGCCCTTTCCCGCCATTGATCTTCAGAGCGAGGAGGAACGGGCCGCTGCCTCATAGGCACTGCGCATCCAGAGCTTCAAACTAGCATGTCGGCGCGAGCCTCAACTGTTTACCGCGGGGTAGGGAAATGGCTGCACTCTCTGGGGTTGGAGCTCACCCACGCCCCATTTTCTGTGTGGCAACAGACTTACGAGGTGGGTCAAGTTATACTAGGTCCATCATTTCCACAGTGGTGTCCAAGCGGACAGTGAAAGCCATGCAAACAGAGGCTCCCAATCAACCACAGCCTCAGGCGGTATACTGCCTGACCAGTTTTGTCTGAGCTTGTTACTTGGGCAACAACCTCCGGCTAGATCTTGTCCGCCTTAACTGACAAGAAAGGATGTGTCATCAAGTACTTCTCGGGGAGCCAGTTGGAACCCCTTTCCTGGGAACATATCAACACATGGAACCACAGAACGAGATCTGAATCACCCTCTATCAAACCTACCACGCAGAAACAGGCACACCGTCACTGCTGACGATAATCGGTTCCTCGCTACTCACCTTGCGCCTTCTGTCTAGATACCGTGTCATTGGGTTGCTGTTTTCTGCTCGTTCTCTCTCCTTGTTTGCAAGCATCCACTCCGTAGTGAAGCGCTTAGGCTTGATACCTGAAAGGGGAAGGCAATGTCGCATCATGAAGAATGCCGCCGCACGCCGGCACTTGAAAACCCCTGACTGCGAAGCATGTCAATGACACAACACGGAAGCGTCTTGCTGCACAGACGGCGACTGCCCAGGCCTACCGATGAGCGAGAATGTTGTTATCATGAAGGCGACGGATAGGGAGAACAGCAGCAACGGCACCGACGCCACGATCATGTTGTGTTGCAACAACCAGGCGCTGAAAACCATATGCCGCACCACAACTGGAAGATCACGCAGGAGTTTTTCGGTTCGAGAGTGACGCAGGGAGGCAACTGGAGCCCAATAACTTCAAAGCAATGCCGCTACAGTCGACAATGCGGCGGTGGCAAAATTCTTCGACTTACTAGTGAGCAGGGCTGTCCCTTGCGAACTGCCCTTTATAAACTGTGTGAAAGACGCCCACTGGAGCCAAGTACCAACGCTGCCAGTCGTACTTATGGTTATACGTGGTCTGGGTAAGTCGGTAGACTTTCGGGCTGCCATCGGGTCCGAATTCTCGTGGAGGAGGGGACGGAAGATGTAGGTGTGGAGAATGTGTGGCAATATTCCTCACGTTAGAGAGCAGAGGTGCAAAGGAACTTCCCTTCCCTATTAGGGTTGCCGGACCCCTAAAAGTCAGGGCAGTAGGTCGTGCGCAAGAGCGCACGAGAAGGTAAGGAAACATCGCGACGTGATGGGTTGTCATACAAAAGAGGAATACAAAAGTAATTATCCACTTTTACGTGGGGAGCACTCAGCTCTAACTACGTTCAGTTGGGGCTGGGCGGAAGCCATGTCTTAGCAACAATGCAGGCGGTGTAGTGAACAGCGGGCTGTGCTGTACGTGCGTATCCTATGTCAACCTACTGGGTTAAAACTCTACATCTATTCTCTAAATGCAACATAGCTCTACTATTATGACCTAAATATTCAAAGAATCGTCCTTAAAACATATTCGAGTCCAATAGTCTTAAAAGGAAAACCGCGGAATCATAAATCTGAAGACGGTGGCGTAAGTCTCCCAGCCGCAGCTTCAGTTATCACAACGAGCCCCTAACCTGGTGTGGCTGACGAGCTTTCTTGACTTAGTTACCTTAAGTTTCTATCTAAACTATAACAGTTTATCTCTACTAGTACTGTATTTGTTCTCTTTCACCTAACAAGGCCTCTGAATGTTCCACATGAACTCCATTGTAATGCGTGTGCACTACAACTTCCCCACTTCGCGGACTGAACCAGGCGTCCCTAGATTGTGTTGTTCCCATCTCTCTATTCCTCTATTTTCGCCTGCCCATGGTATTGGGTCATTCCCCGGCCCTAGGGTAGTGGGTCACCTGCATTGCGTAGTTATGCTAGAGCGTTTACTAGAATNTAGAATAGTTATTATTATAACGCGTGCTCTCTGCCCCTAATCAGTGATAGAAGCGAGCTACAATGTAGATAAATACTTAAAGTAAGAGTTTCACAAAATTAGCTGACCTCCTTCGCCTGTTCTCAGGCCTCCTGGGAGGTGAGCTCAGGGCCTGGGTGTTGCGGGAAGGAGGCAGCTTGTAACGCTTGCTCTCTGGCCTCAATTAAGGACGGAAGCAAGCTGCAATGTAGGTAAAGACTTAAGCACGAGTTTTACGAAGGCAGCCAACCTCATGCGTGAACACAAGGGAGCCTCAGCGTAGCTTCCTTTCATGCATGCTTTACCTCTGTACACTTACCTAGTGTTCGTATTGGCTTACACGCAACCTATCAAGGCAAAGTGAAGGCTCCTGTGCGACCTGCAGGCAGGCCATAGTACAATTATTATGTTTGTTACTACTATTATCATTATTCCCTTGTTCTGTTTTGTGCGTTTTTTTTATAACTCTATCCATTCGTTTCTTTTCTTTTTCTCTTCCTTCTGTTCTTTATTCTTATCCCGTCCCTCTGAGTGATCCGCTTGTTGTCTCTGGATTGTAATGGCACGATTCTTTTCTATATTCATGCATGTGAGTTACACCGTTCTGCAACCTGAGACCGAGTGCGAGAGTAGTGCGCGTGCGAGTGCATGTGCACTTTCTCCCCCTCCTTTCGCTGAAAGACTGCCAACACGGCTGCAGCTTCCCGGCCGATACCCCACATGCCTGCTCCTCAGGGGACCCCTGGCTCGCCTCTACAATGATGTCCTTTTTTGGTGTTTCCGCACTAGTTCGAACAATAGGTATCCTTCATCACTTAGCATTCTCGATGCTCATTTTCGTCTCAAACTTAGACGGTAGCGTTCGACTGTCTTAGCCCGAAGGAGACTGTAGTGAATACCCATTAAAATTACGGCAACACAGCCGTGCTCGTTGTGCAAGAGTAAGGGTTGGTTGAACAGTGGAAATGCGTGTGTTTGTTGATGTTTACTGAGCAAATAATTGATGAATGCATTAAATATTGTTTACGAAGAGACGTATTGATATGACTACGGGAGATGATGTCATGAAACTTGATTCGAAATGTGTTCCAACATACCAGGCCGTCTCCTGTCCCAGCCCCAAATGCGGGGTCTAGTGGGGTTTCCGAACAGAACAATCTTGAGAGCAAACAAGAGAAGAACCTCCACTAAGCTTTTTTATCTTTGTTATTTTGCTGCATCAGATGAGATATCTGAGTGTCTGCAGCAGTTTACTTGGGGATGTCAGTTAACTTATGCCTGCCGGCCCGGTAGACTCAGCTGTAAGGTTCTAAGAATGCGCCCCACAGTCGTCTTTCAGAGGAACAGCCTACTAATATGTCATATTTATAAAAAATATTACACTAACATTTGGTATTCTCTAAGACCGTAAACAGCCCATCATCTGAGGGAACTTCGATCCCTACTACGTCTCACATTTGGATTTTTGTATGCATTTGTGTTGCCGTCAGGGGCATAAGACGCAGAGCCGCGGGCATTGTTTGGTGCATTCAGTGAAGGGAGTGGGATCAAGTTCCGAGAGCCCCATGATCCCTAAGGCCCCTAACTTCCCTAATCTGGCCCGCTGTAGGGGAGTTTCTCCCGCAGAATCCCCTGATCCCCTGAAACGGAAAGCGCCTTACAAGCGCTCTCATCTCCTTCCCCTCGACGTACTGCTGCTATTCCCACATTTATCGACGCCCTCTCTTTACCGAAGTATTCTCTTTTACAGATCTCCCACCAGCACTGTGCCACCACATCACTTGCTTCTTGCCCGTAACCCTCCTCTGACAGTCGCTGCGCCTTAAGCTGTGAACAACCTACTGACTGAGGATTAATCAAACTTTTCGAAGCTCCTGTATCTAGGAGAGCCTCCGATTGACGCTAGGCTACATCTACTCATGAGGCTGCTGTAGATGCCGCTGCTGTAGATCCCACACTACGCAGTGCGCCCCCCTTAGTAGGGTCGTCACTTACCCAGATATCACGCCACGATGGCGATACTGCATCATTCACCTCTTGCCCATAGCCCTCTTCTGAGACCTCAGTTTGCTTTGTGCTGTTGTTTCCCAGTTCTTGCCGTGGCTCTTCTCGTTACACCTTTGCTGACTCTGACCCACTCAGCTCCGTTGACCGCTGCTGGCACTCCTAGTACGTCTGTCTCCGCTGATACCGTTTAATTCGCCGTTTAAAACGCTCAGTTCCTTCGGCTGTGGAGGCTGTTGGCTGTATACCAGCACTTTCTCTTGTATTTATCCCTCTCCGAGCCAATATTAGACACTCTCTAGCATAGTATCCCATGCCTGCACACTTCTTACATATTTCTTCTGCTCGCCTTAATGGCTCACTGCGTAATTGACACTGTCGCGAGTTAGGTACCTTTCCCTGGCATTCAAAACGAGCACTATCCCACGGTCCGCCTTGTGATAGGGGAGTTGCTTTGTTATCGTCTAATTATTTCTCGCCGCGGTTTGCCTCCTTTCGCTGTCTCTGTGACCTAGCAAAATGCTGCCAAGGCGTTGAAGGAAGTCGTAAGGACGAGAGAGGAGGCACTATATAAGGCGATACTGTGGAGAATAATGGTACAAGAACTGAGACAAGGTTCTTTGTCAGTTATCTGTCAGCCATAAGAACTTCATCAGCTAGATTGGCTTTGAATAACTCCAGCGGACCTTCTGATGGCAGGGGTTCACCGCCACTCAATTCGCATTGTCTTGGGTTTTACCCCATGCTTGCGGCAGGCGCTTGTCACACCAGCAGTGGCAGGATTCTCGCACAGCTCACCGGCCAGGCCTCCACCCATTCACGGTCTCGCTACCTCATTCGTATTGGCGCTGTTCATCCTACTACCATCCTATGAAACGATTGCTTGACCCTTGCTTCTAGGATGCTTATGCTAACCGCTAGTTACGTACTATGTGTCCGGCCTAGCCGACGCTGACATTCTAGTGCCAGGCACTACACTGTCCCCACCAAACTATCAGTTGCTTTTCATCTTTGCTCGCAGCTCGCTTGATCCGTTGGTGGGATATTCATAGCTGAAGTACAGCTTTCAATTCCTGCCATGGACCTTTTCCCTCACTTTCAGGTGGAGGGCCCGATTTTCATCGCCAACGCTGAGCATGACCAGTTTCTAGTTGTGGCAATAGGTGCAATAGTGTGCAAACATAAGTAAGGCAGCAAGCTACAGGCTAACGCTGGCTGAGCAAGGCGTTGGAGATAGCTGAGACTGCTTTCTTATCCCCCCGTCTCAGGCAGTTGGTCAGGCGCTTTGACGCTAAATGCATTCCAGCGCCCGCTGCTTAAACTTTCCAGAAGTCTTCATGGAACACACGGAGGCCCTCCCCCGACGTGGCGAGCCTCAAAAGCGTCTCCACGCCCCGTTGTTGGGTTGCCACCGCTACCAACCCATGGATCGTGTCTGAACGTTCTCAGTGACGCTGTCACTGGTCAGCTACGGCGGCCTATGCCCTACAGTTGGGTTGGAGGCCGCTGTTGAAAGCTTGGATCCCAACCTAGTAAGAAGTTGAGCCGCTGCCAGTGGGCAGCATGAGTGCTCCTGTAATGTCAGGCACTACAGGCGGTCAACTGTTGGGCAGGGCACTACAACGGTGCCCGTGAATGGCATCGGGCGGCAGGCAAAAGTGAGCACTACGCGTTAAAATTCTAAGTGCGACAATACTAATTGTTGCTCGGTGGAGTACTATACATAAAAGGTGTGGTCCCCTTGATAGCTATTCCTTATGGGGCTCAGAGTCAGAGGCAATACTAGCTGCACACATGTGGGGGAAGTAGGGCGAGTTTCCCTCCTCATTGTCCTGGTAAGCGAAGATCCTCCCCAAAAAGCGAATTTAAAGCTCATAGAGGGGGTTCTGGGAGAAGGGGGAATCCAGCGAGGGCCATCCTCAAGCTTCCCCCCACCAAAAGAGATTGCATTGCTTATTACACGGCATGGGGTCCAAAAAAAACGAGCTGCTGGCGGCTTTAGGACCGTTGTGAGCTGTAACGGGGCCCAAAAGTATACACCAATCGGTCCTCGAAATCCTGCTCACTTTGACGAGAGCCGTCGATCTTGTTCGAGGGCCGTCGTGATTTGCGGTATGCAATTGAGTCAAGGCACATTATATAAGAGCTTACATAAAGCAGATGAGCTGGTCTCCAGTCCCCCCGCCACCCTGGGCACAGGGGACCAAGGGTCCTGGGATGGGGGGCAGGAGGCGGCCCGCCATGAGTTGCACCGCGCTCCTCTCGGTAACTTGTGTTGTAATGCCATGTGTGAGCGCAACCATGCCCCCGTCGGGGCATGCGCTAACACCAGGCAGTTGCTGAACACGTGCTTAGCCCTTACTAAGCAGCCTGCACGCAAGTAAAAATACGCATAGCAACTTCGGAGAGATAATGGTAAACTCGCCATACCTCCTGTTTCTAGGCGTCCTGCTCACAAGAGTGCAGGCTTCTGATTCTGATGGCATGTGAAGGCAGCCTTCCCTGAGTACTACTTCCCTTTACAGCTGCATCTTCTGCTGCGAAAGGAACCCACCCAGCAAGCGTGCCCAAAACCCTCTTGATGCGTGCACGAACACTTTAGTCAATTGTTACTGTGACGAAGCTACCTACTTTCCAGCATATACACAAATGTGAATGCATCCACCCATCGCTGGTAGGTTCTGCTGCACGCCATCTTCTGCAACCAGTTCCTTCACAACTGAACACGATGCGGCAGGACATCTGGGAAATTCTTCTTGCACAGCCGCAACTAGCTACCTCAACAAAGCACGGAAATTTGCCTTGTGATCTTACATGTTGCTTCTCTTATTCCACAAGTCCTCCTACCTTGGGGGCTGCATTCGCATATGAAAACTGCTACAAAGTTCGAATTTAAGCTCGCAGTAACCTTTGCAAGAGACAGGCGAGCCTTTGCAACGGAAGCGTGCGTCACAATATTGTGCTTCTCTACAAGGGCTGGCCTCAGCCCTACGTCTCTGTACTCGCCGCGAGTGTCCCAACCCGCAGTGGAGCAGAGCTCGTAAGCCGGCCGTAGTCCGTCAGTAGCCGCCACGCAACCCCCTTCCCAAAACACTATGCTTTTCGGGAAGGTAAACACTAGTAACACTCATCTAAAACTTCCCACATCGGTGCTTGACTGCAGATATGCTGTGAGCTTTGTGCCTTGCATCGTTTAGTTGTTTCTAACTCCAAGTTTAAATCCTATATGCATGTTTCTAATCCATATTGGCTCTACCACTCACACCTTTCTCCCCGAGGGAATACAAAGTCAAGTAACCTGGAAAAGATGACCTATTGCGTAGTACGACGTTTGCAGAAAGCGACCTTGAAGTCGAATGTTGCCTCAAAGTTTGACCAATCAACGTACAGTTGCGTAAACGATTGTCACAGCGTCAAAATTGCCGGCAGTAGCCAACACAGCGAAGTAACAACGCAGCAGCCACCACATATCCAGGCTTGGATGTACTTTCTCGGCTATATGCGGAGCCAAGTCATTCACTTATTACCCAGTAATGAGGCTAAACGGCGCCGAACGATACCAACTGTACTTCTAAGGAGCGAAGTGGGGCGCCACCCTCCTAATACACCAGGAGTCCTCACTTGGTCGTCGCCCCTGGCCAGCACCAGCTACGCAGTGTGGGCTGCCCTTATTGAGCAGCTTCGCGTTGACAAAGGATTGAAGTGAACAAGAGAGACACCTAGCCTGGATAAGTAATCGTTGCTTTTCAGCATGCCCGCCGCCACCTAATCGACGAACGCAACGATAGCGACTGTGAGACAGCTGTGGCATAGGCATCGCGCGTTGTCAGAGCAAAACGTCGCGATGCAACGCAGGCAGACTTCCACGACGCCTTAGGAAAAACAACCAAATAAGTTTTTACAGCTTGGCGTTTCCAGCTCTAACCGTGTCCATCATCCCTGCTAGAAATGCGGTCACTGAGAGGGGCCTTCTGTTGCTATCAACGGAATTTAATCACGATCACTTGACCGACCACGCCGACGGTCACGATCCCTATCCCCGCCTGCGTCATACAACGACATCCAATGCCTTTCCCTATTGAATACACACACTGACATTCCAGCAGACTTTTACTCTAGGATCTACATTAAGCTTGATGAGAAACCAGACAATTCGTTACCTCTGCTGGGTGAACGCGACATGCTGCGGGATTCGCTTCGCCGTCGGCCCCTCCGTCTCTCATGTCTGTCGCTTCGAGTACGGCGGCTTCTTCCGCCAGACCGGGAGCGGCTCCGACTTCTGCTGCGGTCATGGGAGGCTGAAAATACGCGTATCCAAAAAACATCAAGACCAAACCCAGCCAGATGATCCACATTGTTCATGTGGTGCACCCGAAGTGTTGATCGCGTAGGACTGTATCAGCCTGGAAAAGCCTGCACTAAATGTTGTCGTAAAACTCCCCACTGGGAAATGCCCGTGCACTGAGCTTTAGGCCTGGTTGTTGGCTTACGTGCGCGAGCCCGCGCCGGCGGTGCATCGTCATTATCCCATCCTCTCATGCCACCCGTATCGGGAATTGTATCATCTGCACAAGCAGGATACCACAAACAGCGTTTAGAGCACGTTACTGCATCCAGCAGCGTTACGATATCATACGGTTTTCACCAACAGGCTACTATGCAGCTAAGCCGTGAAGTTCTACGGAAACGTACATGCCACCAGCGTTGGCGGCTTTGGAGGGGCGGTTCCTGTCGCGAACTGCTTGATTTGCTTGTTGAATTCTGTAGCCATCATCTGCTCATGTCTACGCACCAGCTCTTCGTTGATACGCGCCGCCTGTCAAAACAGCAATACTCATATTGCATGTAAATATACGCGAGGCATGGAATGACTGCCTCTCTCCGTACTGCAGCAGAGTGTAAACTCTATGCTCGATCATGTAAAAGTCAAGTTCTCACCTCTTCTCTTTTCCTCTCCATTTCTAGCCTTCTGTTTTCCAAAAATTCTGGAGGGATCCCCGTCGGAGTATTCTGCGCATAGAACGCCATAAAGCGTGCAACCACGAAACACCGGCAACCGTTGCTTGCACCACTAACAATACACGAAGCCTTGACGGGAATTTAACGTGAACTTGCGTAGAAGGCAGCATGTGCTGACCAGTTACCTCTTGCACTCTGCAGGCGTACGCTTTGAGAAGTGAAATAAACCTCTGGTGAACTGTAAATGGCTTAATGAGACTGAAGTTTTTGACTATTGCACACTAATTACCTGGGCACTCAAGAGGAGCTTCCAAAGTTCGCGGACAAAATGTGTGGCCTGTTTACCAACAAATCCGGTCAGCGATATAGCAAGTTTCTTGGGACACAGGTAATTCTTTCCTGCACACAAGCACAGACACTTCGAACTCCCACGTATAAATTTATGAATTCATGCTGAGCGTTGACTTACCTTGCGTGCAGTAGCCCCCAAAAGCTCCCTGTTCTCAAAGGATGACGAAAAAGAATATCCGTCTAAGTGTAAAGCGTGTTAATGCGGAGCCAGCTACCCGACGTACTCTCGTCAACATCTGCAGCGAGAGCTTCCTCCGGTACTAATTGCGAAAGACAATAAGAAATTACGATGTCATCTTCGAAGCCTGAGCCAGCAAACTCGGAAAAAGTTGCAGTGTTACGTGATGTTGCACCCTGGGCTTGCTTCATGCTCGTATCCGCAAAAATACAGAGTAAGACCTACCGAGGAGCTCGGTGATCTTATGGTTGATCCAGGCCTTCATAACCTCCACGTTAACCTTGCTCATGTCGACTTCCTGGTCGAATATTGCGGGCCACTACAAAGAAACAAAGTACAGCCAAGTACACAGTTGATTTTATTTCTTCTGTAAGGACTGGATACCAAGCGTTCACATTCATGAGCATGTCCGTTCTATCGAGTCAGACGTCAAGAACAAGAAGCAGTGCTGCATGGGGAAAAGTGATATCGCTCACTTTTCTCTGCGCAATGAGCTGGCTGTCCTTGTCCCTAAAGAACGGAGTCTGGTCCGTAGAAGTCCCTTTGTAGAAATTCCCCGACATTTCTAAGTCAGCGAAAGCCACTACAGGTACCTAACGGGTTATATGAGGCCCCGACGTGCCAGCCAGGCTTCAAATAGTGTTGCCGCTGGGCAATATCTTTCGGTAATACCTCACGAAGTATCGCCCGCCAAGAACTCCCCGCGACGGGATGCTCTCAAGCGTCAACAGGGAAGCGGGATCCAAGTGCCCCCGATGTCACCTAGATCCCAGAAATGTATAGGCGATAGCGAAGTTCTAGCAAAAACAGGCTTCCTTCGGCATATACCGTAGGATATGGCGATGTTCGCTTGCTATGCATGCTTCCGGCTCAGTAGAACCTCCGCAGTTGAAGCCGTCAAGCATACACGAAACTCCCGCTCCATACAGATATGGATATTATGGAAAATTGTGCCAAGGGAACAGTGAAAAGGGCTATGCTTCAAGCCACTGGAGGAAAAGGATTGCCGACGTCTGTCGGGCCGCGCAGACCGTCAGGCACCAGAGACCCCAACGAGCGTGAGAAACTCAAACGCTTTGGAATTTGAGAAAATAAATATATATTTTCCAGTATAACAACTACGATCAGCGACAAGAGTTAGTTAAGCTTTGATGCAACAACTTGCTCTGCATGCATTAGCAGGAGGGGGCCCCGTTGCCTAGAATCACGCTGTCTTTCTAGTGCGGTGCAGTTCAACGGTAGCAAGAGGAGGAGCACCTTCAGGTGAAGGCGTCAGACTAACTAGCACTAAGACCATATGAGTTAATGTGTATTCGCGTGAATAAGAACTTAATTAGTCTGATACAGTAACATTGCAATAGGACCGTTCAACAGAATTCCCGGTGGGTTAAAGCACGCCATAATTCACACTGTCCGCTTGAGGGCAAGAGAAATTCTTCGAGTGTCGCCCTGCTGAAGAGCCGGGGGCTAGCCGATCCTCTGGGATTTCATTATTTTCTCCCGCCTGACCATATTGGGTGTACAAATTTGGACGATTTGTGACTCCGAAGGGGATTTTGGGTCTAACCCGCCTTTTTACCAGTCGTTCTATGGCCTTATTCAAGGACAGAAGCGAGCTGCAATGTAGGTAAAGACTTAAAGTAAAAGTTTCCCAACAACAGCAGACCTCATTCCCCTGTCCACAGGCGTCCTGGGCGTTGATCTCAGGCCCGGGTGTTGCGAGGTGTTGCATGGTCTGCCTACAGTTAGCACAGGAGCCTTGACCTTAGTAGGCTGCGTGTATGAAAACGCAAACGTTCTATAAGTGTATTCAGAGGTAAAGCATGCAATAACAGAAGCTTCGTTGAAGCATCCCTATGTTCTCGCTCGAGGCTGGCTTGTATTACCAGCCGCAGCGAGGTGCGCTGCAATCGCACTTCAGGCCATCCCCTCCCCGCAAGACCCAGGCCTGAGCTCAACGCCCAGGATGCCTGAGGAAAGAAGGGGGTCAGCTGCTGTTGGCGAAGTCTTACTTTAACTCTTTACCTGCATTTCAGCTGGCTTCTGTCCTTGACTAAGGCCAGAGAGCGACCGTTATAGGTGTCGCAACGTGAGCTTAGGATGGAGTGTGTGAAACTGGTAAATGTATTGCTGCAGGCAAGTTTTGAACAGCTGCAAACAGCGTCACCGCATGTATCAAAATGTTGCTTGGTTATATCTGCATATGGACTTGCCTTGCAGCACGAGTTGGGGCAAGGTCCGCTGTAACACATGAGAAGATCTGTAACGAGAGTTCTCGGTGTTACCGAGGATAGTCCCGAGCTGCGAGAGAGTCAAAGGACCTATCAACTTCACAAGTGCTGCTGAACTCCCCTGCAGTCACCAGGCGGCCTGGGTGTGGCGGCAAGAGCGCCTGAGGTTGACGAAGAGGAAGCGGCCCCCATGCATTGCAGCGCATTTTGCTGCAACTGCTGCTGCAGCGCAACTCCATATGCACGCACAACCAAGCCATATTGCTGGATGCTCTACAACTGAAGACGATTATCGGGCACTTACTTAGCCCTGAGTGGCCGGCCTGCGCACAACTATGAGTACATATCCTAGCTTCGAAAAAACAACGCTGCAACAGGCAGCAGTCGCAGCACACTGTGTCACCGTTGCAAATACTCCTGCAGGTTCGGAGTGAATGCACGTCATCCAAATACAGAGGCGCGTAAGCGAAGTTAAATGAGAAGTGCACTGCTGAACCCTGTAAGCAGTAGCTAGAGCAGTGGAGGTTTTCGCTTCACCGATATTTTAAGGAGTTGATGCCGACGCGCGTCGGGGCCCTCGTATCCTGCTCTTTAGGCAGCATCGAGTTGTGACCAAAAGCGTTAGTTGAGGGTATCTCCTTTTTTTTAGCAGTTCATCAGCCTGCTTCTTGATTCCCTCTTTATCCTACAGGGACCGCCTGTCCCTCGGAACAGAGCTTGGAGCGGGAGTGTCGTCGGCGCGGGGCAGTGGGCGTCCAGCTGGTGGTCAGCCTGATCGAAGCTAATTATTATTTAATGGATCTAGGAATTCTTCCTACAACTGTACCCGCTTCTGATTCTTTTCGGTTTTTGACTACATTGAATCCCTTCAAATCCCTGTCCTCATAAAACCACCATCAGGGAGTGAATGGATTTCTCAGGCATTACCTGAAGCGCCGTTGCACTGCATTTGAGCGTTTGAGTCTCGTACATTTTGTCTGAGTCATGGATGCCACTTTTCTTATTGTACGGGATGCAGACGCTATTGGGAGCTGAAGGACCCGCGCTCTATAATTGGTTTCGGGCGCGTGGACCTCCATTGTGAGAAACTCCCGTATAGCAAGCCACCTAAAGGGAATTTGGGGCCTTACGGAACATAAGGCCATCGGAACTGGACTCGACCCTCATCAGTGGGCGCATCAAACAATTGTTCGTTTCTGCGTCTTGTGCCGCCAACGACGACACAGACGCAGACAAAAACATAACTCTGAATTCCAGTAGGGATCCGAGTCTCCTCACTCGGTTGGGTGTTCTGCAACAGTAACAATGAAGATACTGGGGGAGAAGGAACCTGAATATGTGTGGGTGTGTGGGCTGAACTCTCAGTCCCTCCCCTGGTGTGCGGGATTTCGTTCACGTTAATAAACAATATTACACTTTAGTGTAACATTTCAACCAGCATGCATGAATAATAGGCTGTTCCTCTGAAAGTCCTGTGCTGGGCACACTCGTCAATTCCCACTGCCGAGTATGGTGGGCCGGCGGGCGTAAACTGACTCAGCTAGCGAAACTCAAGTATTTCATCCGTTTCGAGAAGCAAACAAGAGCAAACAAAACTTAAAGAAGGTTTTCTCTTGTTTTCTTCTCCAAAATAGTTCTACTCTCACTCGTACTTGGCCCGGCGCTGCGGCGTTAGGGGTTCGGAGAGGAGGCGGCATGGCATGTTCCAACACCCGCTTGCATACAGGCATCTCGTTTAGTCAAAACAATACACCACTTTTGTTAACAGTATCAAATATACTCATTCAATACTTACCCAATAAATAGCAATCTGAACTCATGTCCATTTCCACTGTTCAACCAATTCTCACTCCTGCGGAACAAGCTCGGCAATGTTACCATGATCGTAGTGAGTATACACTACATCCATGGTGTTGTGTCGTCTTGAGGCTGCATCCGCGCCCTTCCCTGAGTCGCCCACGGCAGGCCTAGCGTTATGCTGTGGTGAGCGGGTCTAACCTAGAAGTTACGTGTCATGGTAATATGGCACATTTGTGGATTGACCTCGCATCTTAAGCATATAGTTATACTGACCGTCGTTTCCTGCCATCCACGAACACAGGCATGTAGCATCGTTTCTTCGTAAGCTCAGATATGAGTTCCATTTGCAGCCCGTCTTAAGTAGCGCTAGCAAACCCTGAGCTTTAGTACGGCCTGCATCCGCACAAAGTTGACTCAAGACGGTTCTGCAGGTGCGGCTGTCACTTCCTTCGGCCCCACCATTTCAAGGCAGCTTTGTGGGGGCCATGGCGTTTCTCTGATTGAGTTGTTTGCTCCCTTGGCAACGCTGCTCGAAGTCCTGCTTATTCAGTTCCTTAGCGCGCTTCCTACACATGCAGTCTCGAGTTGCGTGGCTTTGCGCGCTACAGAAGAAGCAGGTGCTCTGCTCATAATCTTTCCCCGGCTTTCGCGGTGCCGAATTCGCTTACACGCGTCTGCCCTCGCAACGCTTCTTCTACTGCGCGGGGGCGACGTTCACTGTGCCAATCTCTAGAGGTCTTACGCGAGGTCCATTGCCAGTCCCTTTTTTTCCCTCTCCTCTACCGCGGTGGAAATAATGCTTCTCCCCCTTCTGATGCGTAAGGAGTCCATCATCTCGGCGAGTTCCACCATTTCGCCCCCCTCCTTGGCCTAACAGACAATGACTCACCCCCGTTCAGAGACAGTCCTATTATGAATCATTCGTCTCCGAGCACTGATTCCGCTGTGGGGATTCCTCGCAAAGCATTAGCGTTTCGCGTATAGCGCTGCTATAACGCTAGTTCTCTGGCCTTTATCCAGGGCAGAGGCGAGCCGCAATGTAGGCAAAGACTTAAGCAAAAGTTTCCCAAAAGCAGCTGACCTCCTTCCTGGGTCCCTAGGCATCCTGGGCGTTGAGATCAGGGCCTGGGTGTTGCGGGGAGGAGGCAGCCAGAAGTGGGGTTGCAACGCACCCCGCTGCGGCTGGTAGTACAGCCAGCCCCACGCGTGCGCGCAAGGAAGCTTCACCGAATCTTCCTCTGATGCATGCTTTACCTCTGAACGTACTTGTCGAACGTTTGCAAGCGTTTACACGCAACGTGCTAAAACCAGGTGAAAGCGTCTGCGCTAACTTACGCTGCAACAGCTGCAACAGCTGCGTTGAGAACTTCCCTCGTCTCCGTGCTCGAAGTTTTCCACTAGCCGTCTCTCCTCCAGAGTTGGGTATGAACCTGCACTACAGCGCAACTATACAAGCTTGGGGGTGGCCATGACGCTGATGCTGTGTTTGAGCCACTGACTCACAGCAGAGTCACAGGGAGATTTACTAGTCTGGGACATCCCGTGCAAGACGACTGGACTCCAATCCGTTTTAGAGACTATTATTTGATTATTTAGGTAAAATTACTGGATATACGCTGATTTTATAGTATACGTGCAGACTGTGCATCTCATTACGTATACATAGGATCCCTATACAATAACAGCCGTTCGGCTGTTCACTGCAAAAGCTGCTCGCATCGTATGGTGTCTGTTTTGCGCCAGGTGTAGTTTTTTGGCTCATCATGGTGCATGGAATTTCGAAAGCAGGTTCACAAAGTACCGGACAGAGACAAATGGAGACGAAACTTACCTTAATTGTTGTCTTGGATTGCCCTTACCCCACTGCCGACTGAACAGACCTGATGGAGAGCGGCAGCGGATACAACGGCTTCACGCTCGCAAAATCGCCGAGTCCAACTCATCCTGAGTACATCCGGTCCTCTTAATGAATTTGCATTGACTTTTTTGTGTTTTAACGGACATGGGAGGTCTTATTGGGATGTGAACCTACTACACCTCGGCCATTACTGGGGTCATGTGGCAGACGGAGCTCCGTGGAGCTCGCCACAGCAGGAACTTCATATTAACAACAAGCAGTGCTTTACCAGCCCCTAAGAATTAATGCTTGAGTTTAATATGAACAGTGTCTAGCTTTGCTTGACGTGCTGGGGGTCGTCGTTCTCAAGCTAAGGAGCCCTCCCCTGCCTTGGCTGGTTGTCTTGCTGTTTTGAATGACGATGAGCCGGAGATACGGATGATGCAACACGTGTCGGATAATTTAGTAAAAATGCAAGTTAGTCCCTCAGGACACCTGGGTGGGTATGGAAGCCCGCGGTTCACGCATGATGCACATGAAGGTGGTAGCAAGACAACAACGGAAATCACTCAGGACCACGGGAATCCGCCTGGGCAACACTTACAAGGACAGGATGATTCGGAAAGCGTTGTCAGCGAACTGATATTCCGTCTTAAGGAGAGCATCAGCGAGCAGGCAGGGAGCTGGTGGAGGGCTTCAATGGCGAAGGTGGCGAGGAGGCCTCTGCTCGCTTCATACGAAACGTCTCCAGCTGAAGTTTTCGAAAGCACCCATGAGATCCAAGATGAGCTTGTTCCAGTATGCATCGCATCCCGGCGATATATAACAGCTGTTTGGGACAGGGCTACGTAGGGTTCACCACGTTCGAGTTTTGGTCACCTGTCGATGAAAAATATGCTGCCATGCTACAGAATTCCACAGAGAACCTAATGCTTGACCTTATTTATTAGCAAAATGGCCAAATGTTTAGCTGGCCGTTGCCCATCCCCAGGAATATGCCGAATCGGTGGGCATTCGTTTCAGTTTTTTTGACCCTGCGGCCATGTGCTTTAACGCAGGGACCAAATGAGAACTCTGTTTTCAGCAGTAATTGGCACGATCGCCTGCAGTGGGCATTTCAGCGAGTGCTCACTCTCCGTGAGTCTCAGGACTCGAGGTCGGCCAGCCAGCTCAGAAGACGACTGTTCGAACGCGAGCTCGCCCTCAATCAGTAAGGCGTCGGTTCAAATAGCCTATCCTTCTCGTAAGGGCTGTGCGTCAGAACTAGTGTGATACCCTTGCAGTGCAACTTATGCGAGAAGTTCTAGCACACCATGTGGGGAGGCTACAACTTTTCCACATTTGACGAGGCCACACATGTAAAATAGTCTTGTGGCGTGCTGTACTACAGCGAGATTGGATCATTTGCGGCAGCTGCCCGTGCAGCAGCAGTTGTATTGGTGCACTCTCTGACGTTGGAAGAACGATATAAGCAAAGGGAAAAGTTTAAGTGTGAGAACCAGGAGGTACAACCGCGAAAAGGACCAGCCCAGTGCTTTATACGCATCAGACCGGAAGAGTACCCGACGTTGTGGCGTGTCTACCAACCAAAATTTCCAGACGGTAAGCCTACGACACATCAGAAATCCTGCCGCCGCTCATTTCAGTCAAGGCCTTGGCCGTCCACCAAGGTGTTAGGAATACAGCCGATTAGTGTTTCAAGTTACAAATATCAAATCTTAGCCACCCCTTCAACTCCTGCGCCTCGACAGACGAACTTTACGTCTTTGACAGCCTGGTCCTGACGGTCATTGTGGGCGACACTCAAGCAAGCATCAAGCCGCATTTCGCAAAGGAAGTCTACCAAAATGATGTGAAGGGCCGGCAGGCAGTGGCTGATGCTGTGTATGCGACCGCTTTTGCGAGGAAGACAGAGACAGATTTGCGTCTCCGCAGTCGCTTTCAGCTTCAACGCAGCCATGAGCGTGACCGGCAACAAGTAGATACTGCGTGGAACCTGCACGACCCAACTAAATTTGAGCGTGCCAAGCTTGGGCTTCCAATCGCTTGCCTTGTTGATTATGCCGGCTTCGCTGTCCTAGTTGAGCCGCTTTTGCCCCTAAGGTAAAGGTGCATTCTGTTGCGAAACTGCAAACACACACGTACACGTTAAATTGGATGTGGGAAGTGCTGCTTTTGGCCCCTAAGTCTCATAATGCACCACCCAGAAGACCGTATGCATCTGTTTATGCTCCTTTCTTGTTTTGGCAGCCCGGCACCCGTCAACGTCTTAGAAGAACTGGTTGCGGACATCCGCCGGCGCCTACCCGATTTTGTACAGCAGTGTGGGAACATTGGTAATCCCCTCGGCTGTTTTGATGCCTTAGACAAAGTAGACCGCGCTACTTATCACAAGTTTAAGAACATTGCCGGCTTTCTGAACCTGGCGGTATGCTTCTACGCTTTCCCCTGTGACTCTGTCTCACCAGTTCAAGCGTGGGCCACTCATCCTTGTGTGGATGTTGCTGCTGTCGCTGTGGGATGGCCAGTTCAGTGCACGGCTGCTGCCCGACGCATTAGGGCACGCTTGAGGGACCTAGCGGTGGCTAATCGGCGTATCCTCGGAGGCGAAGATAGATGTGCATTCCCCTCCTTAGTGCGCATGAGTCCTCAGGACTACCCATTTCCTCGCGGCGCTTCAGATTTCGACGTGGGTTTGCCTCCAGCGGCGCTCTGGAGGTCTCAGGTGGACCACTTTTGCATATTTCGCAACCTTCATGAAACGCTCCCCCCAAAGTGTGCTAACGGGCGAGTGGTCCCGGTATGTCATCGTCTCTTGCTATCCGGCATAGCTCCCAACCAGTCACGCACACGAAATTCAAGGGCGACCTTGTTGAACAGCAACCCAATCGGCGGCTGAGATGCTCTTGCTGTGTCTCGGGCGTTTCCTGTGTGAACCCAATTTCATGTGCACAGGAGCAGAGGTTCCGACAGACGTTTCTTTCTCGTGTTTTTGACGTTGCTTTGCCTTGTACCAGCAGAGAGCAGCACAGGGCTACAGAGAGTAAGACCCTGTTTACCATTTGAGTCCATAAATGTTTTTGAGATATATGCTAGACGTTCGCGGCAATCCATATGTGCCGATGCCCGTACATAGCTGTTTTGGGTTTCCTTCTCAGTACGTGCCTCGAAGTTTGTCCAGCAGCGCACGACACTGCGGGGAACACTGGAGGCGCTTTCCGTGGCTGCGCGCTCATTGGAGCTCGCTATCAAGCAGGACGTTGTGCCTACCATTAACGCGCTGCAAAAAAATTTTTTAGATTCATATGACGTTGCGCACGCTCTCCATAGTCATGGAATCAACATCAGGTGAGATATTTCAAACGCTGTTGCCTGAACCGAGTTCCGTTAACCGTCTGCGTTCTTAAAACCGCGCCTTATGGTGTTACCTGGTTGCAGAGATATGGCTCAGTTGTTGAAGCACGGACCAGCTTCTCCATTTAAAGATGCTATCATCCGCGAGGTGGTGGCCAGATCAGCCAAACACTTATTCCGGCTGCAAGTTGAGAAACTTGCTGAAGGCGGAATGATTGATTCCAGCCACATGGAAGAAATTCAACGGTCAGCGCTTGAGTACTGGGGTAGTACGTAGCAATTAAACAATGCCACTTCTCCCTGTTAACGTGCACCATTTGTGAAGTAGCAGCACATTTCGTGTACGAAGGATTGGACGAATAGGATAGACAACCTGAGCTCAAGGGCTACTAGGTTAACTGCTACGGCCGTTGCCTTTGCCTGCCCTGTGGTGCTGGGCTTGTTTTTGTGAATGCCTTCGTTCAGTTTGGTCGTGAAGCTTTTCAACTTGGTTCTCTCTACCAACGAGGAATCAAGAATTTTTTGGCGTCACCAAATACTTCCGCTAGCCCTAGGGAGGTCCGGTCGCATGCAAGATAAATGGAGTCCCAATTTGGTTTCGACATATTGGCAGGCGTGAAACACAGGTATCATCGTGATTTTTAGTGACCGGACAATATGTACATCTGCCTCTTTGTCTCCAGGTACAAAGTAGATCTAACTGAGATGGCGTCGCCGGAGAGCGTTTGCACTTATTCCCTCTTCAAGGCCATGGAATACAACCTGGGTACGTCTCTTGCTTTGCTGAGTCGCTGCTCTTGGAAGAATGTTTGTCTTCTAAACTACTGTGAACTGATTGCGGCTGAGGATATCCACACGCTGATGGCTGGCATGGTAGACCGGAAATACGCAACTTGCTGGAGACCACCTATGCTCGCCTACTCGTTGCACGACAATATTGCTGATGCGGAAAAACAGTTTCACCGTACTACCGGGCCGTTCCTATTCATTATCTTAGTTTTTCCAAGAACAGCCCTACAACGGCGAAGCATTTTGAGCATGACGCATGGGTAGAAACCGGTTGTTCGACCGTTGCTAGAGAAACAAGGACGCCCGAAGGCTGACAGCTCCGAAACTGGCAATTTGCTGCATTTAAATGCTTCAGGCGTCCAATTTGATAACAATGTGGCTACGCGTTCAACAAGTCCATCCGGCGAGGCATCTCTCGAACTGCGACTGCCATTAACTGTAGCTGACTTGTCAACGTTCTCTACCCGTCGAGACGCTCTGCTCTTTCCTCACATTTCACAGGTGAGAGCGGCGCTCGTTGGCGGTTGCCATCCATTAGTCGACGATGAAAATGACGGCGAAGACTGGGGAACCCAAATACGGTCAACTATGCGCCGCATGCGACACTTCGAAAACGCCGGTTAGGCTCATCACTAACGAGTTCGTCAAACTGCTTTCATGCTTTAGATAATAACGCCCACTTTCTAAGACGGCTGCCAGTAATTGGTTTTGCTTCCTCGGTGTAGGCGCATCGGCTGTCGTTGTGGAACGGTTAAGCTTTCCTTTTCCCTGTTATGACTGTACAATACATGCTCCCAGATATGTCTACGGATAAAGACGAGCCAAGCAAGCCAAGGGCTCCCGGAACAGCAGAGATATTGCAAAAGTTTGCGGAGCTGCGGGAAGTTCGAGGGTTTTATCCAAGAGTCCACGTCGTTGCCCCAGAAACTGTCGCGCTTATGCAGGCAGCTACTGCTGCAACTGTAGCTGGGGCGAGCAGCACTTCTTTAGATGTACTTCTGGACAACATGAAGGCTGGTGAGCGCTCAGATATCCAGAAACCGCTAGGCATCTCCGTCTTTGCATCTATTTTAAATTTATCTCCTCCATACAGAACGGAACGATCTTCCGCGTGGCTGTCAACTCCAAGCGGCAACTGTGGACATTACGTCTTTTCCATTAGGCGTTGTAGTTCCCACGTACCAAGAAGAAGTATGGGGCAGCGGCAACTTCGCAATGCACGGCGCTTGTGGAGCAACGAGAGCCGCTCTTATTGGCAAGTCTCTTGCCTGCCAACTTTAGTTCTGTCTGCAGGACACACAGGTCACTACTATGTTATTTGTTTCTTCAAGAATCCGCTGGAAATGTTTCGACTAGCTTTTGCTTAATTTGTATTAGTCTACCCTGCAGTTGTAGGAGTGGCCCATATCTCTCCTCTGTCTACGCACACCAAAGGGGGTGTGGGCGTAGGGGCTCAACTGAGCTTGTGTACCTCGCGCCTTTGCGTGTCTACTCTTCAGGAACAGGATACCCCTGCCATCCATACTGCCTTGCAGTGGACGAAGACGAGGCGCTGCAAGAAGTCATTCTAAAGGCAGCTGACGAGAGCAAGCCGCTATCACCCCTAAAGCAGTGCCTTCGATACAGGAGAAAGAAACTCGCCTTAACTTTGGCTCTTCTGTCGAAGGCAGCCATCGGTACCTTCTCTCCCTGGCACATGTAGCTTCAGCATATGCCAGAAAGCCTGAGACAGGCCAGACACGTTTGGCGGAACTTATCGAATGGTGTTACTTGAGTTCGTTGTGTTACCAGGATGCGATATTTTCTTGCTGGGGAAAATCTTGCAACAGACTGCGTACATTATGCTACAACACAATGAGATCAAGGCGGCTGGAAGTATTGCGGATTTCATTTACTCCAAAATCCCAGATGGGCTGTCTCTCCAGTCAGAAGCGTTGCTCATCGACATGCAGTGCACCACAAAAGGAAGTGAGAAGCATCCGAATGCCGGGCTGCTGGAGCGCCTCCAACGTGCCATATATTTCTTTTATGCTTATTCGCGATGTGAGAAAACGTGCAAATAGTGAGAATGGGTTTGATTGGTTTCCTGCAGACGAGCCCCAAGACGCCCTGCTGTGCTATCGGAATCTGAAACCACTTTTAGTTGCTATGGAGGGGAAGATGTCGCTTCGACTGTTGCTCGCCGACCTGCTGCTCGCTTCTTTTGCCTTCAAGAACAAGCGCTTCAACTCCTCCATTCTGCACGCCTTCCGTGTCCATAGAATATCGACAGTGGTCAGTTGGCGCAGTTGGTCAGACGGTTGCAAGCAGTTTTCCGGAAGAACCCCCCTGTTGTTTTAGGCATTGCATGGTTTGAGCGTTCCTGTTAGTAATGTGTACTAAAATATTTATTCCAGTGGTCGGTAGCTGCAGAAGAATCACGGTTTTTCACTGAGGGTCTCCTCTGTTCATGCGTGTGTTGCGCGGGATCTTAGTGTTTCGATACTGGGGGAGCTCACTGGGCTGCTGTCGCAGCGCTACGACTCATCGGTGAGCAGCTACTTGAAAGATGTGCAGTCGAGAGACACGTGAATACTGTAGAAGCTGTCAGTTTGACCAGCCGCTGGACATTAGTTGTTTCTAAGTTTATTCACGTCATTTCCCTCTCAAATTCTGGAGGCAGTGGCGTGCGTTGGTGTGGGACGCAGCACGATCCATGCTGGAAGTCCAGCGGTGCTCTGAAGCCATCATAATTTTGCAGCACACCGTCAGAGTGGCGAGTACAAATCCCGAGCTTCCATCCCTCGTAACGCACATGAACCGGTTCTGGCTAGCTGCAGCTTTTGCAAGGTACGACGGGGGCACCAAAGCTAGACTTGTGGCGAAGTCGTTTACGTGCTTCTCGTTCACGGCGTCTACTCTTGTGAGGACCTTGGCCTTGAGTTCATCTCAGAATGGGTCGTTTGGAGAACGCATCTGTGGAGGCTCAAAGCATGTTAGCGGGACTCGAATCTGAGCTCGGAACGAATCACGAAGCCACAATGTCAGCCCTCTACCTTGCAGGTTGGCCAAAAGAACCCTTTGCCTGCACTAAACGCTAGAAGGAGCACGCCTCACAGCGGAAATGGAAGCGGTGGAACGCACAACTATCCACGAACTCACGTGTGTTATCGATGAAAGAGTACCTCGATCTGGCCATGCAGCCTGCGCTAAACCCTGGCATGTTCTTTTGTGTATGAGTAGCTGTGCCGCAGCTGAAGTGAAGATGCGGTTAGGGTGCTTGTCACTCCAAAACCCACCGCTTAAAATTGGTGGGCCGACTGAGCTAGCGGATGAAGCTGGCATTACCGGTGCGCCTACTGAACTTCAGGAGCCCTTGCTCTGGAAACCCCTGGGTGCTGAAGACTTTGAAATATATGAGGAATTATTTCGCGACCAAGGCATGAGCCAGGCTAGGGCAGTACGACAAGCAACGTTGATTCATTGATCACTCAGGGTTGTGCACATAGAGGCCAGTGGAATGCAGAATGCACTGTCCTTACTTTTTCCCCATACTAACCCTTGTAGCATATATTCCTCATACATTTTGGGGGTCCTTGCGTGAGCTTACAGGATGCTGAACAGCTCTTTCTTGCCCTTTTCCGGCGCCTTCTCTTTCGGGAAGACAATGTTCTCGTCGAAGTATACAAGCCGCCGGGCCTTGACCGCAAGCAACGTCAACGACAAATCTTCTCCACACTTAGACAGATCTTGAAGCTCAAGCTGTGCTCCATTCCGATATCCGTTCTCCGCGTAAGTTGCGCAGATGAATCTGTATTAAAACGCTGGGAATAAGGTAGCGTTTGTTCTGGGCATTGGTAATTCAGCTGTGTTGCCTGGAGAAAAGTTTACAACTGTGTAGCGCCCATACATTGTTGCCGCAGCTTTTGGCGCATCGCATATACATAGCCTGCGTCGCCCAGGGTTGCTCAGAAGGTCTCCGTTCTTTTGGCCTAATGGAGCAAGAGCAGGTAGAAGATTCTGTTGTAAATGACTCCAAGGGAGATAGCACTAGCCCTGGATACGCGGTAAGCTTTCTTCCTTTTCCGGGCCTTATATTTACTCACTTAGCAGGTATCTGCACACCTTCCAATCTCGTACGGCGCCACCTGGAAAGATGCAGACTCTTCCCGGGTTGGATGTACTAAGGAGCAGAATTTTCCTAATGGCGGTGTTGCAGCACCTCTTACGGAATGGGACACGGGTGGTCTTTACGCGGTATCCTCGCCTGCACGGGGGGTGCAGAGGGACGTCGGATGCGTCATCGGCCCGTTCGACTACGGCCTTCGATTGCAAACAGAACGTGAAGTCGGCTTCCAAAGAGGAACGAGCTTATCCGTTTTTATTCTTCTCCCAGGAGAAAGTGTCAGGGACAGAACGTCGGCATTCCCATGGAGAAGACATCTTGTACGCCCGCGTGGACGGATCATCTGGATTGCGGCCTGCACAGTGAGGCTTCCCCAATAATAATAAACCTGGTGATACGAGCAAAATTGTTCGTTATGAACCTGTGGGCTGCGAGCTGTGCAGCATGGAGATGTGGAGCGGTGACGGATGTGTGCTGCAGGGAACACGACGATATAATGCTGCAACTACTCTTGTTTGGCAAGGGCCCCACATCTCTGAATGGAATACTTAAGACTTGTTACATGAGCTGCTTGGAAGACCGAGCGAGGAACCCGGCAACTTGGTATGTAAATGCACTGTCAGACATAAATTAGAAATATCTGGCACAATCCTTGACGCCGGAGCTTTCGACATCGTAGATTACATTTCTTCGTTGCATCCTCTGCACTTGGTGAGGCGTAGTTGCGCGTCAATTGTGGGGCTGTACCGCATTTTGGATCAGCTATCACTTTTTGTGTACAGGTTCGACGACCTCATCTCAGACGTGCTTGGAGAACGCGGGAGCTTGCAGCACTTGCGGTTCCTCATTTGCATGTTACGCCGTTTCTTTACGTTGTCGCAGAAGTCGCTTTTCATTGCCCTCGCATTAGGCGACTTCAACAGGAAACGTCATGCCCAAATGTTCATTCAAACGATGCGCGCGCAAGAGACTGAGGGAGAGGGTAGGGATCCACCAATTTGTTGCCACTACCGTGGTCGTACCGGTAGCTCATGAAATGGAAAGCGCTAGCTGGCTTGCACTGCAAACCACCTTCCAAGAGCATGGACCTACCCTTTGAAACCCTGTCTCTGCCGTTTTTGTGCCGTCTCTGTGCAGTCTCACGAAAATTGGCTCTTAAGAGGATGGTCAACAGAAGTCGAGAGCAGATGCCTGAGACCAGCGACGGTGATGCGCCATACTACGGAGGATATCTAGTTTGGCTGGCACATCAGCAAAACAAAATCACGGCAAGCTTTGGCAGTGTATTTTTGCCTTGTGCAGGCATGTATGTTTCTGTGTCATATTCAGATTACCTTGAGTATGATTTCAATTCGCCTAGACCGTTTGACCTAAAGATCGGAATCACCCGGTGCGAGGAATTCTTGAACTCTACTACCTGGACCGGTGAGCTATATGTCTAGTGAGCAAGCCGCTGTAAATCCCTCCATGTAATTACGCCAATTAATCACTCGATGACATTTTGCGACTCAGGGTCAGCTCTCCAACGCATGCGGTCACAACTCGACTTCACTCTTTCTAAGCAGTTACTGACAAGAGGGGGCCCAACACGGGCTTGGCAACAGTCAGCTGGTGAGTTTGGCAGCGCCGTCCAACAACACATGCCACCTTGAGGCGGCATTACAGGGGTCATAAAGAAAACCATTCAGCGCTTCCCTAGTAGCGACATGTGGGGCGGGGATTGAACTAGTGCCTTGTGACGTCAGCCCAGGCTACTGCTGCAGGGCTAGTAGAACACCGCTGCTCAAAAGATGTGCATGCGGCTCTTTCAAGGCAACAGTGAGATAGTGGAAGGAGGAGGGGCTGATGATGATTCGTCGTCGAGGGCAAACGTAGCGCTCCTCCAAGCCGATATTGCTGCCGTTGAAAAGAACTACTTAGAGCCACCGGTTGTGGGAAAAGGGAACATATCGGGGAAGACTGCGTGGAAGAGCATGAGCACAGCAGCAAGGCTGTCTCAGCTCCGCTTCGGCGGAAGCAAGCAGCTCATCGCAAACATGCCCCCAAGTGCCTACGGAGTCATGGGGAGCATACTGAAGCCTGAGCACGACTCGGAACTGGAGGCATTCGGCTGCATTGAGTGTCTGCAGCCAGCCGACAAAGTCCCATATCTTGGCGGGTGATATTTATCGCTACATATTTTAAACCCGTATATTCCTGATGCTGTTCGAAGTAATCCGCGGAGGACGCAAGACTTGATTAGCGGTTGTATACGGCCCAGCGCCAAAGCACGCAGGGTCCACTGTAAACATTTTCAGTTGCATCAGATGTTCTCCACAGTTGACACTGGCACGCTTCATGCAGCTGCATTCACCATAACTGCTCCACGAAGCAAATGCGCAAGTGCGGCAGTACGAATGTTGGCGCCAAACTAAGTAGTGAACAGAGGGCATTTCAAAAGCTTCACCCCGCACCAGGCCCAGCACAAATGCAACACGGACGATTCCTGTGAGTTACAGATGTTGAATGTAGAGCACGGTCGACAGCAGTACGCTCGCCGTGTGGTAACCCTTTGCCCACAAAAGCATAACTGGTGGAAAACGCAATCTGGCATCATTCACTGTCATCTTGAACCACCACGTGTTTGCTCCAGTATTCTACCGCGCGGGCATAGGCTTCGCGGTTTAGGGGCACACCACTGCCCCCCTCCTCTAGAAGCGCGTTTCGCATGATCCTGAAACAACCCCCGTATCCGCATACATGCGGGAGTGTACAAAATTTTCTTCTTGACAATTAATGATAATTCCTCAGAAACTAAAAGGAAAACAAGTTTAAAGGGTCTTTCGTTCACTAAGGTAGCGCGCTGTGCTGGCTTCTTGATAACTCTACAATCTCCTGACAGACTCCGTTGGCAAGTTTGCATGGCTTCCATATACCGGTATTTCCCGTTAGCAGTGCACTTACGTTATGGGGTTCATCGGTAGCTCAAACGGCTCATCTTGCGCCTTAATCGCCACTATGAACCACTCAGGTTGAGTTGTATCTGTGTAATAAATGAATAATCAAACCGAACAGGGAAACAGTTTGAAATTGCCCCGAAATCGGGTGCACGGAATGCATGCAAACCGGGGAGCTGGTCACCTGATATAATTTGTAGCGCTTACCAACAATTTCCACACTCTTGGTCATGGCGGCATTCTCCTTGGCAACTTGCTCACGGGAGTACAGAATCAGGTCTGAGGGCACCACCAAAAGTAGCAAGTTGCATCTACAACGTCGCGATCCCACCTTGCAAGAACCCACCAAGCAACGACGTAAGGCAGGCAAACAACAGTGGCCACAGACGCAACTGGTAATTGCTACAATTAGCCGTACCCAGATACTTAGCAGGAACAAGCTGGCGCTGAACACAGCTTGCTGGTAACCACCGTGACAAAACCGGAAGTTCCTCTGGACGCCGCGATAAGTATCCCGTGCTACATCGCCAAGCAACTACCACAATGCATGGGTGGAAACCATGAGAAGTCCCTATTACAACTGCGTTTGCAACCCATGCGCGGTAGCTGGCTGTGCGACCGTTCTGGCCGCTGATTATATTTTGTCGTTTTCCGCCTACCGGATGTGAGGTATGTTCTCTTCAGTAATGGGGAGCGTAGATACTCTAGCTCCTGTAAAGTTTTCTATAAAAATATGCTTGCAGAACGGGGCATAGCCGTCTCTCAGGGGGAGGCATTTCTGTCGCAGGATCTCGTGTAGCTGTGGGAAACGCAACAGGGAACGCGCACACTTTGGGCACTTATACGCCCCCAAAACGGAGCAATATGTCATCTGTCCACCTTTAAACTCGCCGCATGCTCACCTCCTTCATAAAAGCATCTTTATCCAACGGAATTCTTGTCCCCGGGTACTTGGGGTCATCGAACTGCCTGAAGCAAAATGGCTCTGCAACAAGTGCACACATTGTTTGGGAAGACACTTCCAGAAGATGTGCGACCCTCAGAAACCCGCCAAGGCTATGTCGCTCTGATGATATATCAGCACGTGCTCAATTCGTGCAGCTGAACTCACCCAAGCCAAGGGAAATTGCCCTTCCAGAAACAGTTTTGCTGTCTGATGAATCTTGTGATGCCATTTTCACTGACGGGCTCAAGCAGTTTCCACACGTGGAACTCGTACGATGCAGGAGAAGCGGTGGCTTGACTGAGACAGCTAAGAATCCCGGAATTCCAACAATCCGAGCGATGTGCATACTCGATGTACGGCGGATGTGTGCCACACGATTGCCATACTAAGTAAAAGTAGAAAACACGCGGATGTACTTGCTATGAGAATGGCTAGTTGTCAAAACCGTGTCGGAACCCTGGGTAACAGAACTTCGGACTACCGGGAGAACGTTAGAGGAAGAGAAACCGCTCTGGATATGGTATCTGCTCAGACCAGCTACGTACCAGAAACCTCGTCCGTATGGGATAGTTTTTTCCACTTCCCTTTCGCTAATCCTTCACTTCGAGTAGCTATCATTAAGTAGTATTACATGCCTCTTTGGGGCTGCCTGTACGCCAGAGGGGCGCGCCCCGCACTGGCAGCTCTTCTGTGCATGCTGTTCTGCTGTGTTCGTCTTTGGTATCTACGACCAACAAAGTTAAAAGCACTTCTCTGTTGAAGTTAATTGTGCGGGTGCCTCGTTGGCTGATTTTCGTGTGGCCACAATGGCGTCAGCATCCGCTACTGCTAAAGCCCGCAGCCAGATGGGGCGTGGGAAGAAGGCCTCCCCAACAGGCAAGACCACCAAAATCAAGTTCGTTATCGATTGCCAGAAGCCTGTTGACGACAACATTCTTGAGGCCAAGGGCTTGGTAAGTTAGGCTGTGCAGTGCTACGGTACCGACCACTACGCCCGGACTACTCCGTGGGAACGCAGGTTTTCACGGTGTTCGTCTTCGGCGTGTCCGACATCTATTTTCCAACGTCTCATTTGTATCCACGCACTCATACCCTGTTGTTTCGTCAGAAGTTTTCATGGAGCTGTGCGCGAATGAGTTCTTCACCCCACATGTCTCGTTACATGTACCGGGGCCCCATGCTCCGAAGTGATCGAATGCATAGTGCCATCAGGCAGACTGTATATGCATATGAGCACCAGTTCACTGCGTATCCAACTTCTATAGTTTCATTGACCTAGCTGTTAGGAACTGTGGCCGTGAAGTGCCACTGGGCGAACGCGCTGCCCTCACTGTCCTGTAGCATATGGTAAGTTGATGGTAGTATATGGTTGCAGTGCTGTGCTGCAGGAGAGATTCTTGCAGAGCCGCATCAAGGTGGCGGGGAAGTTGAACAACTTGGGCGAGAAGGTGGAGGTTTCTCGGGAGAAGGCGAAGGTTTGCGTCACCGCAGAGCTGCCCTTCTCAAAGCGTTACCTCAAAGTAAGACTATCAGTAGACGGTAGTGGAGGCTGTCGTGTGCAGCAGGCGTCGGCTCGTGCAACGCAGCCATTTGGCGTGTGGGGCTTCTTCAAACGCGCCAAAATGCTGGAATTGCGTAACACACGGTCTCCTGCTATGCTCATTGCCCCCAGCTGGCAACGCTGTCTGTCGTTTGTTAAGGGGAGTATTCGTGGTGTTTTGTTCTGTGCGACATTAGCTGGTATCTTGCCAGTCTGTAATGTGTCTGTGTGCAGTACCTGGTGAAGAAGTACCTGAAGAAGCAGATGTTGCGAGACTTCCTGCGTGTGGTTGCGAACAACAAAACGTCTTACGAGTTGAGGTATTTCCAAATGCCTCAAGAGGACGAGGAGACAGCATAGACCAAGTCTATCTCTCCCATTTAAGAACTGTCATTTTGTTCATGAACACGGCAAGAATTTACGTATGCTGCCAACTTGAACGGGCATTCGGATGTTGAGATGAATCGGCTTGGTGTTGCTTCGAAAGGGTCCACTTCCGTAGTGAATATTAATTAGAGAGAACGCCATAGCGACACAGTTTGCGCGACAGGAAATAGGAAGTCAGAGAGGATCAAGTGCCCAAGAGCTGTCTGCTTAATTGAATTTGCAGTGACCCTAACTAGTGCCAACTGTTTATGTAGTTCTTTCACCCCTCAACTTTGCGATCTACGTATGGCCCATTACAAGGTCTGCAGCGCACGAAACAGCCGCAGGAAAGACCCTCCATTTTGCATACCCTTGACTCCCCGGTCCGGGGAATTTCTGGACGCCATTCTGAAAGGACTGTGAGTGCAGCCCATGACCTCTCGGTGTTCACAGCAATGATACGGCCTTCCTCCCGTTTGTCAAAGGTCTCCTGCTTCCACGGCCTCATTGAACGCAAAGTCTCCCCTCCTAACATCAAGGGGCAGGGTGGAACGTTCGGGAGTTGCACACATTGCGGTGGATGAGCGGCCAACATCGGGTCCCCCCCGTGAGTCATTGCGGGCCGATCGTTCAGCTGTCCTCTGTAGGAGCTTGACATCTTGCACCGCTGTATGCGGCTTGTCGACAGCGCTCGTTGCCTTGTCGAGTAGCCTCGCTCTAAACAGCACGTGAATGACACGAAATGTCTCCAAAGTGGAAAAGCAATTTAGCAGGAACGCTCTACGAATAAAAGAGCACTGCGTTTGTTAAGCGGTTGACTGGGGATGAGTTATGGCAAGGCTAGGCAGAAATCGACGGTTGAAACGACAGGCTCTACGCCCTTTGCACCGTGCATGCATGCAAATAGACTTTCCCGAAAGTAATGAAAGTTCGTGAAAAGGAGTCGTCTTTCACTCCGCAAAGTGTAATTCCCATGAAGATATGGCAGGAAGCGTGTGTGCGCGTCGTGTCCAGACGCCTCACCAGCACAGGCGGAGGCAGAAGAACACCGTCGTGAGTAGAGCAGAAACTGCTACTGACCGAGCGGTTGTTTGGTTGCTTCGTAATAGTTTTTAGATATTCAAACTGAGTTTAGTTGACGGCATTGTTTTCGGCCAGGATAGACCGCGTGTACAGGGAACCATGCCAGCGGACACATCAGAATCAATTCGCCCATCCATGAGGAGAATGGCGAGCTTCACCCGTCTTCTCCGTAAGGACATGATTTTGATCATAATTAATTATCCAGTGTACCCTTATATACTCGGATCGTGAGCCAGAACACATCTTTATTCTCTGGACATGGCTTCCTGGCGAGGCCTCGAACACTTGGGACCTTCGTAATCCGTTGTGGAGGCCGCAGTTGAACAAACAAGAGGATCGTCGAGGTGAATTGAAATATTCTGATGACAGATCGGCAGTGGAGGTCCACGGCATGCACTTGCGGGATGCACGCCCCACCAATACAGCTGGTGTCGCCCAACATCAAGCGTTACAATTCGATGTGGCAAAGAGGCCGTTGAATGGACCAGTAGGCTCATCCGCTGACGTTGGCGGGAAGACTACATGGTCTTTGAGGTTCCCATATGGCATATTGGGCACTAATGCATTGGGCGTGTTGTCTTCAAACATGCAGTCCAAACCAGTGACAGAAGCTGTCGAGACTTCGCCCACCAGTCTTGACAACAGATCATCACCTTTGTCATTCTTAGTAGACACAATACAACTGCCACTGGTACCTAGTCTTGGAGGGAAAAATAGTCAACGGACATCGGGCGGGGCACTTTCCAACGGCGCGCAGGCTCGAACTCCAGTTGGGGATGAAGATATGCAAAGAAGAGATGGTTATATAGTTGGGGAGGAATATAGTGGCCCAGATTTCCAGCCAGCAAATCACGCCACATTGGAGGAGCCCCCTTTATTTACAATGCAGAATATTTCGCTATTACCGCCGCAGGCAAGGAAGCCGATCAACTTGGCTGTCCGTCAATTCACTGCTCAAATGCAGAGAGCTGCAGTAGACTACTGCACAGCAAACAACTTGAACTGCAGCGAACAACATGCGTTGGAGACGGCAATATCAGTGGCGCTGAGGACATCTCCGACGGCATCCATGTTTAGACAGATCTCAGCATCGCTCAGCGCAGTGGAGGTAATTCGAAAATAAAAGTCAAACTTGAATCGATACTAACTTGCGAACAGGGGGCAATTACCAGTGCTCTTCGGCCCCTAGGTTGGCCCATTGACCCAAGATCACCAGAGGCTCCGAAACCTCCACCGAAGCCTCCCTTGCAGACTGCGCAAGCTGTACAATTCTCTTTCTCCCTTGTAGGGACTGCAGTGGCTCTTTTGAGAAGCTTCATTCGTCTCACTAAGGGTCCCAAACCACTGATTGCAGTGGATACGTACGGTTGCATACATACACAAGTACCCCCGGGATGCAACAATGAGGACAGCACCCTTGCAGGCAGCTACATGAACATCACCGCAACATCCTTTTGAGCTTATTGTACAGCGGACGAGAGAGAGAAGGATGCTCAATGACTGCGCCACTGGAGTATTCGTCCAACTGCAGGAGCTTTGCAATTGAAGTTCCAGCAAGAACTGACAATTGCGCAGCGACCGCCACCATCCAAGGTAGTCTGTAACTGAGACGCGACTGTGCGCGCCAAAATCCCGATGCTTCTGCACAGATGTTCCCAGCTCGTTAACGGCGCACGGATTCGAGCTTTCGTGCCTCTCCTCCCTTCGGTGCTCACAGCACTACCTTGGGCAAGAACCTTTCAACCTTGACGGCAGATATACCTTGACGCGCAGTCCCGATGGTGCAGTTTCGTTCGCAAAAATGATCCGGAGCGGCCTCAGACAGCAGAACACCGGAAGTAGAGTCCTTCACCTCTACCAGTCTGAAGGGAGCAAGACCACCAGCGAAGTACTGAAGTCTGCAGCTGCTGCAATCAGCGCTGCCGCGGTACGAAGTTTTTTCTGACGCCATAAGTAGAAATTATTTGGACAGCAAAATTAACAAATGCAGCATACAGACCGTGTGGCAGGCCCACTCGCCTACTTGCCCATATCGCTGCAGGGACACTTTGCTCACCAGCAAAGCAGCAAACCCAAGGAATGCCAGGACGTCGACACATTCTCTTTTTCTCACTGCCTGTTATATGGCCCATCTCATTGGCGCTTTACTCAAGTTCGTGAAGATTCACCTACAAACGAGATGAAATACTTCCCGGCAATTGTCTCCGTAAGATGAGCGAATATATCTCAACGAGTGCATCGCCTTGGATGAAAGAGTCCAAAAGTTTCATGCAGATTGCGACGGTTAGCGTGATGACGCGGTTTTCGATTGGGGTCGCGTATCCTCGGCGACGCCGTTGGCTGCAGTGTCTGTCACACGGCAATATCGGGCTGCTCTCTAGTGTAGCACATAGCACAGTGTTTTCAAATGAATTTTGAAGTAACTCTATTGTTTTGAAAAGTTCAAGCAGTCTGCGGGCAGCTGAGATCGTAGGTAGCCATCGTGGCTCCATCAGCACTGCAGGCGATGAAAAAGCAAATGACTACAGCAAATTGGCCTGTTCCCACGGTGCGCGCCAAGCTGTGTAGCTGGCCCTGCGCAACGTAGAATGGGAGGGAAAGCACATTTCTGGAGTGGAGAGATGCTTGGAAACACTGAGTCTCAGTAGCATGTCTTGAGCAGGCGGCAACAGGGCACAGAGGCCTTCTGGTGGCTCTGGTCGCCATCCCTTCGGACAGTCCTCGCACGCGCCAACTGCGCGCTTTGCTGAATTTAGCCTGCTTTGCCGAATTTAGCTTGGTAGTCTAAAAGACCAGCCTTGATCGCTTTCTCGTCCCAGTAGGCGACGGGGCGCCGGGTGCTGACCAAAAAATTTACCTTCCGCTGGTCGATGCCGACGCAAAAGCACAGATACGCGCTGACTGCAGCAACACTTCTCCCCACTCCTGCGTTGCAATGAACGTATACCGTGTGGCCGTTCTGCAGAGGACCACCCACACATCCGCACGGGCGCAGAGTAGATACTCTAACCGACGGTTGCTGAGAGTGCATACACTTTAGCCCTGAAGTCTCAGCCTGCCATGGGGAGACCAGGGCGATGCAGAATCGCATTACCCGGATTAAGGCATCCAAAACTAGTGCACACTGTGCCACTGCAAGCTTGCGGCAGGCGTCGCTCATATCCTCTGTAGGCATCCAAACGTATCGCATGCCAGCGGATTCATATAGCTGGCCCACTGCTTCTGGTGTCCGCGTGCTCGCAATGGGGTCAGGAAAATTGTTTCTAAGCAGCAGCAGGCACAGCAGCAACAACCAAGGCACACCNCACACCTGTAATGAAGAGGTGGAAATAACACGAACACAGGTAAGCCAGTGGGCAAACGGATAGAACCTATCCTCCCTTGTGCCTCCCTTTCCCTGCGGTTCACAGGCAGATGCGATGCCCCTACTGATAATTCGCTGACTTGATATCTTCTGTAGTTTGGAGGTTGAAAACTGCGGTCACTTTCAAGTCCTGCTTGAGCTGGCGGATGTGTTTGAGCTGACGGGGGCATGACCCCACATATAGGTTGGGCAGAATGCGCGAGTAGTCCATACGCCCTTCAGCCTTGACGGTATTGTAGAAACGCGTCGTGTGGCCGTACTCGTTGGCGCTATCAGCTGAGACGACCGCATGCAGCTGGAGGAGTAAGGATGGGATCCACATTTTGCATCAGAACAAATGCATAGGTGCAGCCATCCCCACTACGAGCGCCGCTCACTGGCGTGAGTCGACTCTTGCCACGTCAACTGATGCTAGCCCCGATACAAAAGCGTATGAATTTGGCAAGTGCAGCCAACGTACCTCGTGGGTCCTCGAACCGTGCGATCTTGCAAAGGTAGAGCACTTCGAGGTTCCCGCTTTCGCACTCATCCACAACCACGTCCATCGGGTCAAAGCAGAACTTCCTATTGCTGCTGGGGCCACTGCCTTCCCACACCACATGCATGGCCTTTGAAGGGGGCACTGCGCGCTGAGCAGGAGGGGGAGGAAACAACCACGTGCGCCAAGTACAGAACGGGCTGCCGTAGGCGACGCACTGAAAAGGCTCCCCCGGCGTGTTCGGAACGTAGGGCGCGACGGGACTTTCCGGAGTCCACAAAATAAATTTGAATTCGAACTGCACACTTTTGAGGGGGTGGCTATCCAGTATGGCAATAATCTCCGGTGACCGGTGGTCAATGCGGCAGGTAGCGGCCGCCGTGACACTTGACGTTTCATCGTTTGTTGTGCGGCGCATATCAGGAAGACTTCCTGAGCACATGCTTCCCGCAAGAGGTGAATATTTCCTCGCGACGGCGGCGATGAGTCGATCTGAAAAGGAGTCGCGAGGACTTTTGGGGCTGTCCCGTTGAGCACTGTTGCATTCACTTCCCGCTGTTGCTGACGCCCTACAAGCTCCCAGCCGTTGCTCGTCTACTTCTACATCTGCAAACCAGAGGCTCGGTTCCATTCCGCCTTCAGTTGGTGTGGTATAAGGTAGCAAGGGAAGACACCGAGAGGGGTCCCAGCATCCTAGGAACTCAGGGCTCCCGGACACTCCCAACTGGGAACCTGGAGGCACAAAGGCCACGCAACTAAACCGAATTCGCATCGAGCCGGAAGTCCCGTAAATGGAAGCTCGAATATATGCCCCGAAAATCTGTCCGTCGTGTCTCGCCCACAGCAACGGCCTTATGCCGCGCGTCTGGCCTTGAAGTTCCTCACCAGGCCACCGAAAATTCAGCTGACCGTTCCAACAAGATTTAACGAAGATGCGGCCGCATATAGCAGCACACCAGTACTGTCATGGTCAGCTGACGCCGAAAAACGACGCACGACGATGGGGAGATCGGATTGCTCCCGAGTAGCATTCACAAGCCTGCTCCAAAGCGAGGCGTTCCTAAGCGTAATTCTTCGAAATCCCATTATTAACGGAAAACAGGCCATCTCAGCCGGTCGCCAGCCGCTGAGACGCTCGCGACAGCCCCTACCGGTTCCGTTGCATAATTCAATGGTAGCAACGGCACAACAAGCGTGAGTTGGCGTGATATCTTGTGGCTCTTAATATACGCAACTTAATATCGAAAAACTGTATTATCCGGTCGGGGTTCTTCTATTTCGCATTTACATCGCGTTCGCGGGGCTGGGCGGCAACCTCCGCCGGGCCGGTCTTGATCTGCGTCCAGGGGACGAATGACAATGCGATCCAACCCTTAAGACATGTAAAAAAGCGTTTAAATGTAATTGCCTACAGAGTTTGCAAACGTCGCCATAAAACACACGGTCTATGTGTCCCTCCCATTGGTGGGAGACAGTTTAGCAGACTGCTCCCACACGTCGCCGGTTACTTGACCTGTTACGACTTTGCATATAGTCACTGCCGTGTCCAGGACGCTTTACAGTCCTTTTTTCGCTTCTTCTGCATTCCCTAGAGCCTGTCACATCACGATAGTGACTGGGGGGCTGTGGAGCCGCCACACCTGTCCGCCGGCCCCTCCCCTCACATTGCAGTTACTGCTAGTTATCTGCGCATTCACAACTAAACCTCCCCCCCCTTGTAGCTCTGGGCTGTTCAGTAGAAAGGAATTACTTCGCCTACGAGGTGACTGGTTCCCAGCGGTGTAATGCGCTTAGTTAGTGCCCCCGTAGTGAGCAGATCGACTTACTTCCCCTATGCCTACGGAACGTAGGCGTTAGGTGCCCCGCTGCCAGGGAAACTGTTAAGTTAGTGTTGCTCAACGGAAAAGCGGTGTTGTTTACGCTCTACCAAGTGCCCCAAAAACAAACTGTTGGAAACAGTGGGTGAGCCGCCAGCAACCAGGGCAGCAGTACGGCAGACGCCACATCCTCTTCGATGCGTAACTTCCCGCTGCATAGATGTTGAAACTTACTGCTCTTGCATATAAATCAACTTTCATACTCCCCGTGAAGACACTCGGCGAAGAGTTTCCTCACAGCTTGCCAACAGACGCCTGGGAAACATTAAAGGATGAAGATCGGCCAATCCCAACGCCCGTCTCGTTTACCACAGACGGACAATGCAAGCAAGGTTTCTTTGCAAGTGGGACTGAGGATGAATAACCCCTTTACCAATAGCAGGAGCTTCTACTTTGTACAAACCTCCCTCCCATCTACAGAGGCAAAACTCTTCCGATGCAACTAAATGGGCCCTTCTGCTGCACACTTAAGGGCTATGGAGGGCACTGATGCTGTGCCAAATCGCCGTTTCAGCTGGCAGCTACGTCCCACGTTGCCGTTCTTCCTGGCCCACGGGGGGGGTCTGCTGGGGACGTTCTCTGAAGGAGCGACGGGGGGAGGGACTCCTATCTCGGCGATGTCGGTTCCGCTGTTGCTGCTCCAGCTGCTGCCGCTGGTCCCTTCGGGCTTCAAGCGTCGAAAGCCACTGCTGCCGCCTCTGCTCGCGCTTTGCGAAGTTCAATGCACCCCTCCGTCCCTCTGATCCCCCAGAGGCAGTTCCTGATTCATCGTTTGCCGAGTTATTGCTGCTGCTGCTTTGCTCTTTGCTGTCCCACCGGCCTCTCTTGTTGGTCGACCCGCNGAAGACGGGGTATCCGCTGTGGCCGGCCGTGTGGCAGCCGCCGCTGCAGCAGCAGCCGCAGCAGCTGCCGCCGCTGCAGCTTTTGCTATGGATGGAGCATTAGACACTAGTGAAGTTTCCGCATCGTCAACCCGGCAGCCCGTATCAAATCTGCGATGACAAGGTAGAAGCAAATAAAATATATGAGGCCCCAAACCCATGCTTCCCGTTCACTTGTAGGGACACTACAACAAGGTGCCAGCAACAGAAACTGGAATCAAGAATACCATCTTCCGCACCCCAAGCCTCCGAACGAAGTATTTTGTTGTTTCCTCAGCTCGCGGCCAGCCTTGCCTCCCTGCCAGACTACCCTCAGGCCAGAGAGCCGTGCCTCCCTAAAGGGTGCTGCAGGAACAACATCAAGCTCGAGAATGTATTGGGTTACCCACCCCGTCGTAAAACACCTCGCCCTAACGTCCGCCCCATTCAAGAAGGCCCGGGTGCAGAGCAACCAGACCACCAGGGGACCCTCCGCATGCAACATTACCCATGCGGAACGCTGAGCAGCAACGATGGGGTGGGGGAGAGCCATAAGCAATGAGCCATAATGTCCCATCATCTCGGCCTGACTTGAAAGGAGTCATGTACAGGCTGTAAAAGTGCTTACGGAACTGCATGGCAAACTCTAACAAGGACCGTGGGACAGTTTGTCCGGACGTCTGAGGCATCCACACAGCAGAAGACGGGGTCAACCACTACAACGTACGAACCAAATCCACAACATCACCGCCGTTTTTAGAAGAAAACATGCTTGAGTTTTCAAATCCCCCAGAAGAAGTAACTGCAACAAGAGAAGCATCAACGGGAGGGACAGCTGAGCACGGCATCAACTGACCTCCATTTTCTCCACGACAAAGGCTGCTTGGCGCTTCTCCTGTTTTGTCAAAAGCGACCATGCGAGGCCCGAGCGGCCAGCTCTGCCAGCGCGGCCTACACGATGTACATAAACCTCAGGGTCATGTGGGGCGTCGTAACAAACAACTAGAGAGAGCGCAGGAGGAAAATCGAGTCCTCGAGCAGCGACGTCCGTCGCCACCAGCACCAACGGGGTCCGAGAGGAATCCGAGTCGCCCAAAAAGTGGTGTTGCATGCGGCGCATCACGGCAAGGCGATCGCCCTGCTGCATCCCGCCGTGTAGTATTGCCACGTCTGGACAGCAAAACCAGAGGTAACAGCAGCAGTGTCGCAACACCAGGCAAGCCAAAAGGGAACCTTTGGAGCCAGGAACATCTTTTCTACAGGCTCCAACAGTGTATACATCCAAAAAGTATGACACGTACAACCGCCACGTCCGCATGTGGCAGAATCCCCCGCAAAAGCAAAATATACCAACAAACGTGAACAGGCAGAAGACGCAGTCCATACATGGGGCCACAACTGCCCTCTCGTATGAAGCGGCGCGACAGCGAAGTCGAACAACTGAAGAGGAGGCGTCATAAAGAAGCACGCTGGATATAACGACAGCGAACGGACAGCACCAACAAGGCGAGCGTCGCCCGCTTAGCGAAACACGAGCACAACTGAAGTGCGCCTCTGGTGACCAGTGAGGTTAAAGACCCCAGCTTGGCAAGCAGAGCGTTGGAGTACAAGGTTGGCAGAAAATGGCAGAAGAAACAGTCACTCCCCTCTCCTTGCTACATGGCATACGTACACTTGAACGTTTGGTTGGCGTTCTTTCGAAGGTCTTGTGAACTTTCGCCTCCTAGAAGACGCGCAGCTGCTGCTCGCGACGCGGCGTCCTCGGCTGGCGCTGCGGCGGCCTCTGTTGTTGCTGTGCTCTGTGCTGNAGCAGGAAGGCTAAGTCTTCCACTCTCTGCTGCGAGTTACAAAAGACGACGCCTCCTGCTGCAGCTGCTTCCGCCACAGTTGTAGGCGGCGGCCGTGGGCCGCACTGCTGCTGCTGCTTCTCCGGCTGCTGTGACAACGCCAGCAGCCCTAGCAAGTTCTTAGAGAGCCAGTCGAATTTCGCCTGCTCCCCCTCAAGTATCTGGACCCTTTGGTGAACCGTTTGCGCCGCCTGAACAAGTCACAGGTACGCAGCGCCTCACAGAACAGTGAGGAGCAGCAACGGCAACACTCAGGTAGGGCGTGCAAGTTGCAACCCGGTCTAAGCAATGGCGTGTGCAGGCAGTGTGGTGTGATTACATCCCAATGACACAGCCGCCACAACCGGGAGACGCACCTGTCCTCCCTCACCGACGACAATTCGAATCGGGTTACGAAGAAATTTGCTGCAGACCGGAGACTCATACAAGCTAACGTGCACAGCGTTGGTTCGTTTTGGAGGGCTACGCGCAGCTACCCACTAAGAAGTCCGGGAGGAGCTTGCCGCGCGGCCCCAACCGCATGAACGCGAGAGGCCGGAGGGGACAAGTAAGTCGCTTCTGCTGTTACTGCTCCTGCTACTACTACTGCTGCTTACTTGGCAAGGGCCTCGCACTTGCGGGGCATGGTAGCGCTGAACATGCATGTGACCCTGTCCGGCCTGAGGGAAGAGAGGACATCTCTCAGCTGGCTCTCGAAGCCCATTTGAACCATCTTATCAGCCTCATCAACGACCGCCATGACAACTTTGTGGAAAATACCGCCGAGACCTTTGAGGCTGCACACGTCGATCATGCGTCCTGGGTTGCAGACCACAACATCGGGACCTCGTCTTAGCGCTCGAAACTGTTCAGTCTTGTCGAAGCCTCCGGCCATCAACAGCCGACTCACATCCAACTCCGCTCCCCCTCGAGAAAAGCTGTGGATCTCCCCGTCCACTTGTACCGCCAGCTCCCTAAAAACCAAATCCCCCAACGAACACACGCCAGATCGCCAAAGGCCCAAAACCCACAAAACAACCGTCTGTTTGTCATATTGCGTGAAGAGGAGCAAAATTTATGGTAGCAGGCAGACGGCCAGCAAATCCTCACGATCGAGTCTTTGGTAAGTGGCCCTGGCCATGCTGGAGCACATACACCCCACAAAAACGCACCGGGTGGGGCATATTATGATAGCTGAGGGCCCTGCCCGTTGCTCCTTCGCTGGGGATTGCTTCGACGGGTCTTTAAACGATGCTTGGCAAGTGGTCCATTGGTCCTTTTCCTTTAGACTGACGACGCGCGTCAAGACCGGAATGAGGTAGGCGGCGGTCTTTCCGCTGCCTGTCTGTGCCACAGCTAAACAGTCTCTGCCCTTTAAGAGAGCCGGGATGGCCGCCGCCTGCACAGCAGTGGGAAGGCGATAGTCGCGTCGTTGCAGAGCCGTCCACAGACCCTAAAAGCACAGCACACGCGCCAAGACGACAAGCCCCACGCCAGCCATCGCAGCAGCAATACCACGACCCTCCAGCGCCAACGCACAAATGGACCCCAATACAAGGCACGGCAGAAGCGGAAATATGGTTGCTGCGCCGCCTTCGGCGTCAGCCAGTAGAGGGGGGGCAGCGGCTTGACTGAAGGGGAGGCATCGCACGGCTAATAAGGGCCCCCGGTAAGTCCCTGCCTTGCTGCGGTGACTCCCGTGGAACCCCAGGTGAATGCCCCACGAAATTCGTGGAACGGTAGCTTGTACGGCTGCATTGCTACCGCTGCTGCTGCTGCTCAGCGTGTGCGCTTCTGACCTTCGGAACGGAATCCTTCAAGTGGATGAAGGATGCAATTGGACGGGGCGCCTGTTTGCCCGTAGTGTGGAGCTGCAAGGAATCGCGAACCTTCGCAACGGCCTCCAAGGTAAGGGCGGTGACGTCTGGGTGTTCTTTGTATATGTCCGCTGTGTATGGGGGATATATAATCCTGTACAGTTCGCAGCAGCCTTCGAAGCAAGGAGGAATAAAATGCGCCCAATGGAAGAAGAACTGCAACTGCGAATTATTCTAACGACTTTAAGCGTCATAGCTCATACACTCAAGCAGCAAAGAGCCTAGAGGTTACGTAGGCCTACTCGTCGTGATGTACTACAGGGAGAGAACGGCAACGGCCCTCATCTTCGTCGTCTGTTCCTGCGCTATTGGTCTGCGTCTGAGCCTTCCTCTTGCCTCTAGCAGCCTCTGCTTGCTGCATTCAACACGCATCCGCAAACCCATAGGCATGCAAACGGGGAACATTCATCTACGGAGTAGTCTACCGGCTGGGTCGGCGTCCCGTCACATCCGGTAGTTCCCCCACCAATTTCCCGCTGGAATATGAACGTTCGACACATTTGAACACATACAGAAGCTGCTTTTTGGGCATTGAGATGCTCTATAGACTCCGCTGCAATGTCCTCATCGTCGAAAAAGCGTTCTGTCTCCGTCTGTTGGCCTTCGCCCGCTGCTTCCCTTCGCTGCTTTTCCTCGAATTCTGCCTTCTCGCGAACAAGAGT